TTTAGAAATAAGCAAGAGTGATATCACTCATATATCAATTTAATTTGTTTTTTTGTTAGCAATATTTTAATTTTATAAAATCTTAATCCCTAAATATATACCTTTATTTTTTACCTGTACGCTTAAATTATTTTATTTTTTTAGTAAAGAAATATTGTGTTACACCTTAAAAAAATTCTCACACCACACCACCCACACAGTTTTTTAGTGCTCATAAAAAATTTAATAGATTTTGTTAATCAATTATACACTAATGTTTAAATTTTAATCAAATGTAAAAAGAAATAAAAACACAAAATCGTGAAGTTTACCCATTTATAGTTTGTTCTTTAAAACAAAAACTATACTATTCTTTCTTTTTGTAAAAGCTAAAAAGAAATATCTATTATTAAAAAAGTTTAGATTCTCTCATTCATTCATTTTTTTTTTTTATATTTTTTTTTTTAATTTTTTTTTTTTTTTTGTTAATTTAACTTTCCAAATTAAAAAATACCAATAATCATAAGCTCAGAATAATATTAATATTATAAATAAAAAAAGCAAAAAGAAAACTGTAATATTAAAAAAAAATTATAAAGGTTTTATTTTTATTTTTTTTAATTGTTTTAAAATTAAAATTAAAAATTCTTGTTGTTATGTTTTAATAAAAATAAAAATAATCACCACCAAAATTATCAAAAGAATATATCGTTTTTTTTAAAATTATAGTTTCACCTTATTTTGCAAATTTTAATATTATTTTCAATAAAACTAAATTCTTCCTGAAGTGTTTATTTTTTAATTTTTATTTTAAATCATTAGTTTTTATGATATTATTTTTATTTTACGTTTTTTTTTTGTTTTTTCTTTGTATTGTTTTATCACACCACCAAATAAAATAAAAAAAAAATAATATTATCTATAAAATATATTTTTTATTTTTTTATTTTTATATTAATTTTATTATTTTTAATTAATAAAAATACAATATAAATAGTTTTTTTGAATTAATACTATAACTATAGTTATTAATAAGAGAAAAAATGGATAATAACAATATAAACAGGTCAACATCACATGGAGATGTCATTGCAACTTTCAACAACAATTTATATAATGATAGTAATATAATACCAAAGAAAAAAAAAAATAGGATTATGCACGTTGGATCATTTGAAGTAGGCAAAACATTGGGTAATGGAACGTTTGGAAAGGTTAAATTAGGAACAAATGTATTTACAAAAGAAACAGTATGTTTTTTAATTTTTTTTTTTTTTAATTTTTTTTTTTTTTTTTTTATAATCATTGATTATTAAAAATTTTTTTTTTAAATTAAATAAAGGTTGCAATTAAATTTATTAAAAATAACAAATTATCAAATAAACAAAAAGAAACATGTTTCAGAGAAATTGATATTATGAAATTATTAGACCATCCAAATATTGTTAAACTATTAGATGTTGTTGATAAAAGAGAAGAAGAAGGGGTAACCTATTTAATAGTGGAATACGTATCAGGTGGTGAGCTGTTTGATTACATTGTTGCAAGGGAGTATATAAAAGAAAAAGAAGCAAGAAAATTTTTTAGACAAATGTTATCAGCAATCGAATACTGCCATGCAAATCTAATTGTCCATAGAGATTTAAAACCAGAAAACTTACTTTTGGATGCAGAGGGTAATATAAAAATTTCGGATTTTGGTTTAAGTAATAATATTCAACCTGGCAAACTACTCGAATCATTTTGTGGCTCACCATTATATGCAGCACCCGAAATATTAAAAGCAGAAAAATATTTAGGCCCACCAGTTGATATATGGAGTCTGGGTGTTATTATGTATGCAGTGCTTTGTGGCAATTTGCCATGGGAAGGGGAATCTCAAGCTGAAATTAGTTATAATAGTGTTCATGGTAATTATGAAGACCCAACCCATTTAACTCAAGAGGCAGTGAGCATTCTTCGTAGAATGATAGTACCAGATCCAAAAAAGAGAGCCACTATTCAAGAATTAAAAAAACATAAATGGACAAATATGGATTACGATGAACCACCAAGATCCTTTTTACCACCAAGAGAGCCAGTTTACGAAATTAAAGAGGATATTTATAATCATTTGGTTTCATTAGGCTTCCCGAATACAAACGAAACAAGAGAAATAATTTTAAGAAACGAAAATTGTGGCATAGTTAATGTATACCATTTATTATTGGATAGATATGCTCATAAAGAAGTCGAATCTTTAAAATCAAAATTAGAATTATTATCAAAAAGAAAGGTAAATATTATTTTATTTTATTAATATCCAAAAAAAAATATATTTTTAAAAATAAAAATATTAATTTTATAATATTAGAAATCTTTTTCAGAGAAAAAAACACCTTCATCGAACTCATTAGCATCAATCCCAGAAGATTCAAATGATGGAGTATCACAACAATTGAAATCATCAAATGACTCTTCACCTTCTCAAAATTCTATTAAAGAAGTAAATATAGATGATTTAGAAAAGGATTTAATCGAGGATGAAGAATCTATTGAAGAACAAATGCCAACTATACTTCCTAGAAGATCATCAGAACCTAGTAATGAATCTGAAGAAGCCAATAGAACTCAAGGTATGAAGTCGAGCTATTCTGCCCCAGGTGTTCCAAAGCATGATGAAAACTATGAATATTATAAAAATAAACAACAACTACAACAATTCTCTAACGAATATAATATCTATCACCCAGAATTTACAACTCATAGTGGTGAACAACAATCCCCCGGTATTGAAAAAAAGATAAAGCAATTACAAGAGTTAGAGCTTCAACAATTAAAACAAAAGCAAAATACAATTGGCACCACCTCGTCGCCTTTTAACAATAATCAATATAGCATCAATAATAATGATAACACTATACCAACCTATTATTCCCTACAACAACATCAATCAATAAAACCTGGTGATACTGAACAGCCACAACAATATGCAAGAAGAAACTCAATTGCCGTATCTTCTCTTTATTGTGGCAATTTACCAGAGCAAGATTCATCAATAAAGAATGATATAGAAAAACTGGATATCAATAGTAATACTCATCCAATAATTAATAGAGGTTCTTTAGGTTCAATAAACGGTGAAGTTCAAGAGGAGATTATCGATAAACAAGAACCAATTATTGAAGCACCAAAAACTAGAAGAATGAGTTTAGATTCACGTATTCTTAATGGAGATCAACAATCACTAATCGAAAAGAATCAACATATGGCAAGTCCCAGAACTTCAAAAGGAATTTTCAAATCATCAACAACAACAACCAAATCACCAGAAAAGACAATAATCGAATTAAAGAGATCATTAGAAGAAAGTGGTTTGTTCACAAAAAAGAAAGGTCCATATCTTTTCTTGTGTTTTGACGAAGATAACTCTGTAAAATTCCAAATAGAGATCGTCAAGATTAGTAATTTAGATCTAACAGGTATTCAACTAAAAAGATTAAGCGGAGATACTTGGAAATATAAAGATATTTGTACAGAATTAGTAAACTCAATGAAATTATAAAAGATAATGTTATAAATAATTATATAAATTTTTTTTTTTTATATATTAATAAAAGAAAATAATTATTATTAATTATTATCTAATAAATAAAAAAAAATTGTACTTTAAAAAAAATAAAAAATATAAATAGTATATTATTGTACTTTTAATAAACAATACATCTTTTCTTTTTTCTTTTCTTTTTCTTTTTTTATAAAACTACATATTTTTATTTTTATTTGTTTTTGTTTTTTTTGTTTTTTTTTAAAATACATTTAAAAAAATGAAATCGTATTTATATCTTATTCACTTTAAATTAATTATAAAATGATTTGCAAACACACCCTATTTCTTAATACCTATCTCCTCTTTCTATCTATTTTTTTTTTTCTATTTTATATATTTATTTAACAGTGCTTATTGCTTTTTAATTGAAATAAAGCCAATAAATTTCATAATATTATGTGAAACTGTAAACATGACACAGGCCATTACGAATAAAAATTGATAATATTGTGTTCTTTCGGTTGGGATTAAATTGAATGGGTAACCTGACATATCTTTCCAAAACTCTAATGACATATCTAAATAGTGATTAAAAAAGATAAATGTTAGAATTTAAAATTGAAAAATATAATATAAATCTTTTATAAACTAAACCTACTAATATTTAAATAAAAAGTTTCTGTTTCAGATATTTGAATGGTTTTTGGGAATAATTGAGATAAATAAGTAACTGGAATGATTAATAACATAGCCCCGATCCAAGATTTCTTTGGATAACCACCGTTTCTATGGAGACAACACATTGATAATGGAATGAACCAAGCATGATGAGTAGTAGTAATAATTTCACCCCAAGTAATATTTGGCCATGAGATATATTCAGCATTACCTAATGGGAATGAACCTGATGTAAAATAAACAACTACATCGATGACCCACATTAAATGGACGATAAATGTAGAATTAACGGCAAGACCCATAAGATAAGGTCTATTGAAAAAAATTGAAAGGATACCACAAACCACAGCTAAATTACACAACCAAAGGGTATCTGCAAAACCAATAATACCTCTATGTTGATAACGGACATACATCATTGACAAATAATAAACAAACATAAATACACCAACACAATTTATAAATGTTTTGTTATTATTGAAACGGGCTGATAAAAATCCAATCGATTCTTTTTTGGTGGCTGTGGTTTTGGAGTTTGTTTTTTGACTTAATTGTTTTTTGGTTTGTTTAGTTGGTGGAATAATATTCTTTGGTGATGATGGTGGAGAGTTGGTTTTGCCAATAACTTCATTCTTTCTATTCTTTAATGAATAATGTGCTTCATCGGGTCCTGTTGTTGATGAAATAATTAATGGATCTTTCATATCATTTTTGATATTATTGTTATCGATTCTTTTATTAACCATAATATTATCTTTTGAGTTTTTTTTTTTTTTTTCTTTCAATAAAATTATTATTTATTTATCTATTTCTTTAAAAAATAAAAATATGATATTAGAAATATTATAAATTTGTGGAATGAATGATAATTTTTTAAAAAATAAAAAATAAAAAATAAAAAAAAAAAATAAAATTAATTGGGATCGAGGATGAGCAGTTTGTTTTTAATTTTATTTTTTTTTTTGAATATTTTTTATATTTTTTTTGTTTCGTTTTATATTTTTATAAAAAATAAAATTCCAAATTATATATACAAATATACAAACATTTCTGACTTAACAAATAATAATAATAAGTATAAATTAATATTTAAAAATTAAAAAATAAAAAAAAATATAAATTTAAAAAATGGGGTAAAAAAAATAAAAATAAAAATTAAAAAAATAAAATTTAAATAAATAAAAAAAATTAAAAATTAAAAACAAATAATATGCAACTGCTTTTAGAAAAAGTTTTTTTGTTTCAATATAAATAAAAAAAAACAATAAACAAAAATTATTTGACATTATTAAAATTACAAAAAAAAAAAAAAAAAAAAAATGATCATCGATTTCTTTTTGATTCTGATATAATTACTTTTTTGTTTTTGTTTTTGCTTTTGTTTTTGTTTTGTTTTTTTTATATTTTTGTGGTTATCTTTTAAAATTAAACAAATGTAATTATCAAAATGCAGAATGTGTTTTCTTAAATGAGTAAAAACAATTAATATTTTTTTGAAATATAAAAATATTTTTTTTTTTAATTTTTAAATTTTTTTAAATTTTTTTTTTTTTTATTTTTTATTTATTTTTTTATGATTAATAATTCTAAAATAATAATTATAATAAAAGAATCCATAAATGTTAAATAAAAGATGATAGAGTCCGATATTGATAACCACAATATAATAAAAAAAAGAAATAAAAAAGAAATAGACGATAATAATAAAAACAATAATGATACTAATAATAATAAAATAATAGAAGAAAAACCAATAGTATTAAAGAAAAAAAGACACCCACTTATAACAACTCTTCGATATGTAGCAATATTTTTAATAGTTTTCCTTTTAACCAGCGATTATTTTATAAAGTTTGTCGAAGTAGAGGCATCTTCAAAATTCGACCCAAATATCATTAATCCCAATACATTGGATCTTAATAAACTAAATCAAACAAAAGTAGCATTTTCACCAAATTATTACGAAGTTTCAAGCGAGTATTTATATAGCCTTTTAAAAAATAAAACATATGACGTTGTTAATCAAAACAAAGAAGAGAAGAATAAAAATAGTAATAAAGATAATAAAAAAAATAATAGTAATAAAGAAAACAAAGATAATAATAATAATAATAGTAATTTAAATACAGAAGAAACAAAAAATAAAGAAAAAATAGTTATAGTTGATGAAAAGGGTGAAGAAATTAAAAATGAAAATAATTTAGAAGAGGTTATAAATCAAACCAATACATATTTATTGTTTGTAAGTATTTATTTATTTTATTTATTTTTTGTACCATTTATTATAAAATATTATTTTATTGTCCTTGCTACTTGTTATAATGATCGGTTGTATTAATCACACCACATGGTGTGATTAAAAAAACGATAACATAAACAAAATTACAAAAAATAATCAAATTTTATTTTTATAAATAAATTTAACAAATAAAATAATAATTTTTTTATTTTTTTTTTTTTAAAAAATAAAGATAAAATTTATAAAATCAAATAAAAAGATTATCTAATATATTTTTTTTTTTTTTTATTTTCAAATGTCTTTTTTTTTTTTTTATTTTTGGTTTTAAACTTTTATTTATTAATAATCCTTAGTTATACCATACGTCATGTCCATTCAGCCAAAGATTATTACCAATAATAGAAACCTTATCTAGAACATTCCCAAACATAACATTTTATCAAGCACAGGGTTATGCGTAGGTGATTAAAATATTAATTATATTAATAATTTTGTGTTTATCTTTGTTTTTTAAAAAATTTGATTTTATAACCAAGTTTAATTTTTTATACTAACCATAAATTTAATAATAAATTAATAATTTTATTTAGAATTTTCTTAAAATCTCATTTTCATACAAGAACCACTCCAACTCTTTTCATTCATCTAAATGACACTTTGATAAAATACAAAGGATCAAAGGATTATAATTCAATTACTAAATGGATATCAGCTAACAGTGGTGGACAACCCGCTTTACCAAATATAGAGTTAAACCCAAATATTGAAAAGGCAGAGTTGTTTAGACCAGAAAGAGGCTATATGGTGTATTTTAGTTGTTTTTATGTAGTTTTTTTAATTTTACTCTCTTTCTATCGTATATTCAAGAGAATACCAAAGTTAAAGAATGAATAATAATAACAATTTAAAGAGTCAATAACAATCATAAATAATAATTAATAAATAATAAATAATAATATTATATAACAATAATAAATAATAAATAATAATAAATAGTTGTTTATAAAAAAACAAATAAAATTATTACTACCAAATAGTGCTACAACCACCCACCTTCCTGCTAATAGTATTTCTACAAATTACTTCATTTATAAAATAATGTATCGTCATTATATTGTTTTTATTTAAAACCAACAAAATGTGTTTTTTAATAAATCATTGATTTTTTTAAAAAACCAAAAAGGAAAAAAATTATTGTAAAATTATTTAACAAAAAAAATATTTTTAAATATATCAAAAGAAAAAAATGGAAAAACCCACATGCCAATATTAAGGAGGGTAATATTTTTATTTTTAAATGTCATCATATCATTGTTTTTTTTTTTTTTTTTTGATTGATAAGTAAAGATAATTATTATAATAATGAGATAAGTAACTAATTAATATCAAAATATTTTTTATTATAATTATTTTTAGTATTTTAGTTTTGTGTGTTTTTTTGTGTGTTTATGGGTATAATTATTTTTTTTTTTTTTTTAATTTGATGGGGGTACAATTATTTTTATGTGTATAATACATACTGCTATAGTATTTAATTTTTTTTTAACCAAATTGGTTTTTGTAACTGAAAAAAACAAAATAATAATTTAAACGAAATTCATAAAGGGAGAGGTGATTGTTTTAGAAATCAATTGGATGCTTCCATATAAGGATACATATATTTTAAAAAAGTATTTTAACTTTTTTTTTAAAAAATAAATATTACTAAACAATTATTTTTTTATAATAATAGAGCATACAATAAAAAAAAAAACTATTTAAGTTGATTTTTTTTTTTTTTAAATATTGATAAAAACAAACCCAGTTGTATACTCTTAATAAACCTTAAAAATGATCTTTAGTAAGTTTATAATACAATTTAGAAGATCTCAATTATTATTTTACTTATTTTAATAATTTTATTTTAGAATCTCTTGTCTCAAATATATTACAATTAAATAAGGAAAATAAAAATAAAAAGAGTTGTTTTATAAATAGTTCCAATGACAATGGTTTCACTTTAAATGAATTATCAAAAAAGAAAATACCTAAATATTACTATCGTGAAACAATTTTCTCAGAATAATAAAATAAAATAATAATTTTTTAAAATATATTTTTTGTAACTTATTTTTAACATAAAGTTTTTATTATTGTTAAATAAAATGTTTATTTGAAATAATTTTGATTTGGACTTTATAACTTTATAATTAATGTTCAACTGCAACATAGTCAACAGTGATATCATAAATTATGTTATTAACCCATGTAGAAAATTTAACATCAAAGCCTGTTGCTGTGACATTGACAACATCGACACGATATCTCAATTGATTATTATCAGTTGTACCATCGACATGGGTGGTTCCGAGAGCAACTTTTGGTACTTTGCCGAATGGTCTATCGAAATCAACATGACGAACAGCTTCACGGGGTCCATTACCGGAATTAAGAGTTCTATCACCAATTGAAACGGTACCAACTTGTACAAAGTTACTTTCTGGTGATTTGGCATAAAGTTCCCAACTATTTGCAAAAAATAATAAATATAGTTAGTTTTTTTAAAATTTAACTTTAAATTTTGTTTTTTTAATTATTTACCGAAGTGAAATGTGGGCATTGAATGTAACTGGATGGAGGGCAATTGATCTAGCACGAAGTGGTTGTGGGAAGACATGAGTTACAACAGTGTTTCTATCAGTATTTCCTTTGAAAATTTGGCCATTGTTATAGTCAAACCATTGAACATTGTCATATGAGTATCTAATTTTATATGAAGTAACCCATTGATCTTAATTTTAAATAGTTTAAATGTTAATAATATTTTACATTTATAAATAAATAATTATAAAAAACTATACATACCAAAATCACCACGACCTTGAGTTGCAATAGCAACAAATTCGCTTACTACTAGACTTCCTGCCATGATGTATTGTTTATCATCATTGATTGAAGCAGACCATGATTCAGATCCATCAAATCTATTTGCTTCTTTTGAGTTGGTAAAGTTTAACATAGAGTTTTTAGCACCATGATCAGCATTATGGTCAGTTGAAGTACGTAAGTTTAATAAAGAATTGAATAAACATGCAACACTACCTGGTGGGATTGACATTTTGAATTTGGTTTTTTTGAAGATTTGAAATAACTAGATAGCTAAGAAATAAAAAATGTATAATAACTATTTATTTATAAGGATGATAAATAAATATAAATGATATTAAAATAATAATTATTAAAAAAAAAATTTTGATTTAAATATTTTTTTTTTTAAAAGATTTTATAAAAAAAAATAAATATAAAAATAAAAATTAAATAATTTGGAAAGTTTGAAAATCACTTCATAATTTGTAATTGGTTAATATCCAAAATTAAAAAATCACTCCCTTATTATGTAAGAGGTTAACATTCAAAAAAAAATTTTGAAAGGTTTGAATTAACCACATGCACCAAATTTTTTTTTTTGTTATCAAAAGTTAAATTTAATCATTTTTCGGGGGATTAAAGAGGTTTTAATTATTATTAAATTTTTTCTTCTATTATTATTATTTTATTTTCGTCGAACAAAAAAAAAAAAAATTGAAAGGTTTAAATTAACCACCCATATTTTTTTAAGTTTTTTTTTTTTTTTTGTATTTTTGCCAAATTAAATTAATCTTTTTTTGGGAGAAAAGGAGTTAACACACCAAAAAATTAAAAAAAATTAAAAAATTTATATTAATTTTTTAATATTTTAAAATTAATTTTTTTCTTCAATTATTATTATGATTTTTTGTTTTTTTTTTAATATTTTTTTTAAATTTAGTAAAAATAGAACCAATTAATTTCTTCGATATTATTTTTTACAAGTAAAAACTGATAAAAACTTAAAGACATTATTATTATAATTAATTATTTAATATTAATTAATAATTTATTATAATAATTTTTTTAACTGTTCAATAAATACAAAATAAATGAAGAAATTTCAGTTGAAATCGAATGGAATTCATTATAAAAATTAAAGGCAAACAATTTACAAAAATTTTGTAATGAGTTAAAATTGAATATAAAAGGAACATCAAAAAATTCAGATTAAATAGATGTACTTTTATATTATCAAATACCATAATATGTTATAATAATAATATTGGGGAATAAAAAGGGAAACAACCTAAAATTGTAGATTATAAACACTATTAAATCATAGCTTCGAAAGCTACATTTCCACAAAATTCAAATGAATTAATGCCTAGATTTAAAGTTTTAGATAAAAAATGCAAATTGGGATATATATAAAAAGAAATTATCGAAATTTTGAAGAAGAAACCGAAAAAGCAAATCTATCAACTCTAACATAAAAATAAAAAACTATTTATTTATTAGGAATACATTTAAATTTAATTTGTTTGAAATATATTATATTGAAACAAGTATATGTATAAAAATAAACTTTTTGAAGCGACAGAAAACCCACACTATCTTTAAATTATTATACACAAATTTTAAAACATCTAATCCCTAGATTTTAATTTTAATACATTTTCGATTTCGAATGGAACATCGCCACGACGATGGATCATATAGATTTCATTAACATCAAACTCGATTGGTTTAAATTCTTTTTGTAAGCTTTGGATTTTTTGTTCTATTCCTTTCTATTTTTTTAAAAAAAAAAAAAATAAAAAAAAGTTAGAAATAAAAAAAAAAAAATTAATTTTAATTTTAATGTATTAAGTTATTATTAAGTTTAATTATTGTAATTATTTTACTATTTGGCTATTAATGATTATTGGTTTATTTTAAAATATTATAACACTTACTGATGAAAATTGTCCTATTGTTAAATGAGGTTGGAAACCTTTATCTGATTTTTTGCTTAATTCATCAAAACCTGGTAATAACTCTTGAAGTTTATTTTGAATTTTATTAATGATATTTTCACACTCTGGGGTTGATGGTTTTAGCCAAACAACACAACTGTTTCCATGTTGAAAGTATGAAAGTTCGTTGAATTGTAATTTAAATGTTTTAAACTCTAGCATTTCCCTACGTAACTCTTCGTAGACTGAAGAGAAGTCATGAATTTTAACAAATGGAAAGATTCTATTATAAAATAAATATTAATAAATAATTTTTTTTTATATAATTTTGGTTAAGAAAATTACAGATTAATGTGAGGCATCCTTTGATAAAAATAATAAGTAAAAATTAATTATTTAGTAATTTATTTTAAAAAAATAAATAATGTTTTATAATTACCATCTAACAAATGACTTATCATACTTCTTTCTAAACTCTTGAATTTGATCATTTAAATCCTCCGGAACCCCTATAATAATAGCACTTTTAAAATCTTTGCCTAATCTATTGTTTTCTTCAACAACAACTTGGTTTTCTTCTTCCATTGTTTTATATTAATCTTTGTATTTATTTTTATATTTAATGAAAGTAATTTTTTGAAAAATAATTTATACTGTTTTGTGCTTGTATAAATTAATAAAATTTGATAAAAAAAAAAGAAAGAAAGAAAATAATAAAAAATTTAATAAAAAAAAAGATTTTTTTGACCCAAATTCTTTTTTTTTTACCAAATAAAATTAAGAAAAAAATAAAAAATTGCTCGATCACCACACAAATAAAAATAAATGGTTTTTGGTGTTAATTTAATTTTTTTATTGATTTTAAACCAAGTACTACTTTTAAAAAAAAAAAAAAAAAAAAGGTGAAATTAAAAAAAAAAAAAGATAAAATGATTAAGAAATGATTTTTAACTTTTTCTTTTTTTTATCTCTTTTCATTAATTTTTGATAATTCTTTTCTGAAACTGCATGGCTTGATATTTTCCTCTTTAAAATGTCTTGTTTTACTAAAATAGATTTAATTTCTTTGAGAGCCTTTAATCTAAGATCATTGTTGATGGCCAATTGAGCACGAAGTGAGTTTTGTAAAATTCTTAACTCCTCACAAATTTCGTCATCTTCTCTATCTCTTTCTTTTTCTTTTGTAGGTATTAATTGGTTAACTGAGGTTGGTAGTTTATAATCGTCATATAAATTTAAGCTTCTTAACTCTTGTTGAATACGTTGCTCAAGGGTCAATTGGCTGTTTGGTGTATATGAGGTAAATATTTGTTGATTTAATCTTATTGCAGGTCCTGAACCTTGTTGTTGTTGCTGCTGTTGCTGTTGTTGCTGTGTTTGATTCAATGGTGTTGATATCAACATACTTTCATCAATAAGTGTTGATAATAATCTCATCGAGAGATCACCTAAAATAATTTCGTCGGTTGATATTGAAAGCTGATCTGATTCTTTTGGATCACCAAATGATAGCGATGGTAATGAATTACCAAATATATCATCCTGAGTTTGATCTATAGCTGATCTATTATTTCTTATATTTTGACGATGTTTGCCACCACTACCCGAGGGTTGAAGTCTTTCCAAATCCTCTAATTGCCATGCCTCGGAATAGTGAGTACCCAATTGTGGAATTTCAAAAAACTTTGCATCTTGCTCCTCCGATCTTGGCGTTATAAATTCGATATCTGAATCTTTAATTGGTCTAAGATAACTCTCCATTGATGCCCAAAAAACACCTGGTCCAACATAGTGATGTCTGGCTTCCTCCTCTTGCTTTTTTCTCTTTTTATCTTCGCCCTTCTTTTTACTGTTATTCTTTGAAACACCTTTTCTATTCTTTGATGTTGATTTTGAATTGTTGGTTTGATGAGATTTATTCGAATGAACTGACTCTGTTTCACTTGGTTGCTCATCTGTATCCTGAAACATATCTACATCCATAGTGCTGTTTCTATGGTTTTTACCGGTACCTAGTCTATTTACATTTGCTGGTTGATGATCATCAACTTCGACAATATCTACATCCTCATCACTTTCATTCACTTTACCTGTAGGTCTATTGGTATTAACATTTTTATTTACTTTACCACCATTACCCTTTGATGCTGTTTTTCCACCAATTGTTTTATTAGGAGTTGGGTTCAAATTGTTACTGCTATTATTATTACTACTACTACTATTATTTATTTTATTTTGTGGCTGCTGTGGTTGTTGTGTTGCTGAGGATGTATTATTATCATCGTCATCATCATCATTATCATCATCTTCATCATCTTTTTCATCATTGTCATCATTGTCATCGTTGTCATCGGTAATACTATGTTGAGTTTGAATCTCGGATGCACTTTCATATTCTGAACTTTTTGGTGCATCTATGACACTGTTACCTTCAACATCTTGAAAATCATTGTCAATATTGATTCTGGATGATGTTATATTTGATTTTGTAGTTTGCTTTCTAACTTTTGGTTTATATTTGTTTCTTTGTACAATTGCTTTTATTGGTGCGGGTGTTGGGGATGATTCTAGTGATGTAGGAGGTGTTTGGAACCTATCCTCATATTTTTCTAATTTTTCAATTTGTTTATTTATTAAATTCTTTGAATCCCTAATATACTTTTTAAACAATAAAGCATCTTTGCATGCATGCTCCAAATCTTCTTGATCTATATTAATAGGTGCCCCATCTGTTGTCATCGGTATATTAGAATCTTCATCACTGTGATACTCGATGGTACTCATCGATGATAGTTTTGTTATATATCCATTTTCTAATAGTTTTGGGACCAAGTCAACTGAAGGTAAATATAATTTTAAATCTGTTTGTTCGCTATAGTTATTATTAAAAAAACAATAATAAAATTAATATTTAAATATTGAAATATAAATTTTAATAATTAATTACTTTTTTGGATTGTCATCCTCTTCATTTGCAGATGAATGAGATGAATGGTGTGATGATGATCCCCTTCCGCTAGGATCGGCGCTATTTAATGGTTTATTTTTGGGTGGTCTACCTCGTTTAGGCATATTTGTCGAAATACAAAAATTTTACAAAAAAAATATAAAAAAAAAAAAAAAATTTGTAAAAAAATTTAGGAAAATAAAAAAAAAATAAAGATTATTAATGATTGAAAAATAATCTTTTTTTTATTATTATTTCTTTTCTAATTTAGAAATAATTTAGAAATAATTTATAAATATATAAATATATAATTAAAAAAAAATGAGCTGTTAGTTTGAAAAAATTTAAAAAAAAAATAAAAATTTTTTTTTTTTTTTTTTTTTTTTTGAATTTTTTATTAATTTTTTTTTATTTTTTTATTTTTTATTTTTTTTGTTTATTTTTAATTTCACATTACATTGTATTTAAATTTTTAAAAATTTGATTTTAGTCGAGGTCATTTTTTTTTAAATCTTTTTTTTTTTGTTAAATTAAAATTCATAAATTTAGATTTTACCAATTTGTATTTTGTATTTTGTTTTTTATAATTTATATTTTTAAATTTAAATATGAATACTATGGAAATTGATAATACGCCAGGAACCTATTTGTGTTCAAAATGTGGCCAAATTAAAAAAGGACATATATGTCCAGAGAAAAAAGAAAAAGAGGTTCAACAAGCAGCATCAGTTGGTGTTATGCCACAATTTCTTGGTATGCAAGGACCTATGGCAACAAGAAGACAATACAATCAAACACAACAACAAATGCAAACACAGCAAATGCAAACACCACAGCAACAGCAACAACAACAATTACAACAACAAATGCAAACACAATTTCAACATCAAATACTTTTAGAACAATTGGTTAATAATGCATCACAATTTGGCGTTTTATCACCTGAACAAAAAAAAGCAAGAGAAAAGAGTGCATCAGATTTTAATTCACTTTTATTATTAGAAAGACAAGAAAGATATCCACACTATTTCGATCCACATACCAAAACCATTCAAGTTATTAGCAGTTGGGGTATTAATGTATCTGAAAAATGGAATGAAATACCAGAATATGAAAAGAAGCTTATCAACTTTCAAAATCAACAAATGGTCAATAACAGATATCTTTATTTACAACAACAAAGGGATATTCATGAAATTCAAAAGGAATTACTATCCACTCAACAAAAAACCGAAAGACAACTACAAAAATATAACGAATTAAAATTACAAAGAGAGAAAAAAATTGAAGAAGCAATTAAAAATATTCCACTACCAAGAACTAATGTATCGGCCTATTTCCACTATATGAATATAAACCGTGAAGAAGAAAAACAAAAAAATCCAGATGTACCCCCAAGTGATATTTCTAAAATTTTAGGTGCAAAATGGAAACAATTAACCCCAGACGAACAAAAAGAATATTATGATAGAGCAAGAGAAGATAAACAACGTTTTGATAATGAAATGGTCGAATATCATCAAAAAACAAAAGAAGTTGCCGAAAGTTTCCCACAAATTAATTTCTATCTATTAGCCGAATCACCTCCACAAAGACAACAACAACAACAACAACAACAACAAAATCAACAACAAAACCAACAACAAAACCAACAACAAATAAGAATTCAACAAATGCAATTACAGCAACAACAGTTACAGCAACAACCATTACAGCAACAACCATTACAACATCAAGACCAACAACAAGAGTCTCAAGACCAACAAGAAGAAGAACAAGAACATGAAGAAGAACAAGAAGAAGAACAAGAACACCAAACAGAACATTGTGAAACATGTAACAATAGTGATCAACCAATTAATTTAATTAAATGTTCAGAATGTCAAAAAAAATTCCACCCACAATGTTTAGGACTACATCAAACTTGTGTCGACTCTATTAGAAATAATACCTTAGCATGGAAATGTACAGATTGTAAGAACTGCGAAGTATGCCAAAATGATGTTGATGAAAGTAAGATAATAATCTGCGATGTTTGTGATAAAGGTTTCCATACCTATTGTCTTAACCCACCCCTTAGCTCACCCCCATCGGGTGGATGGAGATGCTCAAACTGTGTATTTTGTACCCACTGTTATATTAGACCAGAAAATTCCGAAAACAAAAACATTAAATGGAAAGACAACTATACAAGCTGTGATAGTTGTTTCTCTAAAGGCTTTTCAGATAAAAGTGTAAGTATATAAATATAAAATAAACACTATTAAAATAACCATATTAACTAATTTTATTTTTCAAATAGAAATATTGTTCAATCTGTAGACACTCACTAAAATCAGAAGAGGAGGAAGAAGACTCTACAACCCAATGTACCTATTGTGGTAAACTTGTGCATGATGATTGTGATTCAATTATTACCGATAATCTCGAAAACGAACATTTCATTTATAAGTGCCCAGGTTGTTTAGAAAATAAATATGAAGGACCACCAAAAGCCATTATTGGTCAAGAAGAAACAAAAACCCCAAAAAAATCATTAGGGAAAAGAAAGAAAGAAGAAACTGATGAAGAAGACGAAGACGAATAAATAAATTAAACAAATAAATAAAAAATAAATAAAAAATAAAAAAGCTTTAATAATATTTTGTTATTTAAATATCTATAATCCATTCTCATCCAATATTTTATTAAATACTAATGCTACTCTTTTTATTACCATCTTGTACCTACTATTATTATTATTATTACTTTTTTTTAATTTAAATATTAAATTATGTTTTCTTTTTTTTTTTTTTTAGTTTTATATTTTTTTTTTATTAATTATATAATTATTTTAGAATTATGGCATGATATAGAGTAAATCTATTATATTATTATTATTAATGGTCAAATATTAATTTGCTTTTTTTGTTTTAATATCTTTGGTTTGGATTTTGTTGTTGAATAAATGGCTTAATCTTCTTAACCATACTGACGCCTGTACCATTTACCCATGGATGAGCTAAACATTGTTCATAAGTAAATCTCCTTTCGGGATTCTTTTCGATAAGGTGGGAAACTAAATCTTTTGCTTCATTGGAAACTTCTAAACCCTCTGGCCAACCATAATCGACGTTTCTAATCTTTTCATATAAAACGGCATTGTTTTTGTCCCAGAAAGGGAAACAACCTGTTAATAAAACATATGTGATAACACCGACACTCCATAAATCACATGCTTTATCGTATGGTTTACATTCTAATACTTCTGGTGCTACATATTCTGGTGAGCCACAACAAGTCTCTAAATAATCACCATCACCAAAAATTTTACTAAGCCCAACTGTAGTTTTCGTAATAAAAAAATAAAATAAATTAGTAAAAAGTTTTTTTTTCTTTTTTTTTTCTTTTTTTTTCCTACATACAATCTGCTACTCTAATATCATCACCTTCTTCACCGGCACATAATAAATTTTGTGGTTTTAAATCTCTATGTGCAATACCATTAGCATGTAAATGGCCTACAGCCGAAACTATTTGTCTAACGATCTTTGATGCATCTTGTTCTGAATATTCGCCTCTTTGTACAATTTTATCAAACAATTCACCACCTAAAACCCTATATTATTTATTTATGATATTAATATTTCTGTTTTATTCCGATACACTATTTATTTATACGAAATTTGATTTATTATTGATAAAATTTAAAAGAAAAACTTACAATTCTAAAACCAAATGAAGATGTTTATCTGTTTCATAAACTTCGTATAACTTTAAAATATTTGGATGGTCACCCACTTTTTTCATAATTTCTATTTCTCTCATTAATAACTTGTTTTTAATAAATCTGGTGTTGATACTCTTGATTGCAACTTTTTCACCTGTAGATCTACGTGTTGCTTCTCTAACAATTGAAAATGCACCCCTAAATTGAAAAAAAAAATATTATTATAAATATTTTATTACTATTATTAAATTGTACCCTTTAAAATCTATATTACCTTCCAATTTCATTTCCTACTATATAATTTTGTCTTAATGGTGAATTTATACTTTCAATTTCATCATCATCCCCTTCGAACTCTTCGTCTGAAATATTCTCAATCTCTTCGTCTGAACTGTCCATTCTATCCATTTAATTGTGTTTTATGTGTTTTTGTGTGAAGTGTGTATGTGTGTATGAAAATAAATAAATAAATAATATTATATAAAGGTATCTATATAACTATAGATCAACACAAATAATAAATAAATAATATACAACAATTTTTTTTATAAATATATCTTTTTTCTTTGATTAAAGTTATATATATTTAAATGAAAAAAAAAAAAAAAAAGCAAGCAAGAAAGAGAAAAAAAAATTATAAAGAGATCAAAATAAATTATAATATTAATAAAAAAATATACAAAGAAATTGGGGGGAGTGTGTTTAGGTTGTTTTTTTTCTGTTTTTTTTTTTTTTTTTTTTGTTTGTTGTTGTTGTTTGTTTTTTTATATAAAATACAAAATTATTTATATATAATTATTTATGATTATATGTAAAACAATAATAATTTTATATATATATATAATGATTAATAATAAATAATAATATTTTTTTTTATGTAGTTTTGAAACAACCAACTAACTTTTTTTTTTTAAAAAAAAAAAAAAAAGATTTTTTTTTATTTTTTTTATATTTATTTTTTTTTTTTTTATTTTTTTTTTTTTTAAATTAAATAAATTATTTTTTTATTATTTTTTTTTATTATTTTTTTTTTTTTTGATTTAAAAAAAATGATTTTATTAAAATAAAAAGTAAAAAAATTAAACTATTTTTATATATTTATATTCCAAATATTTAAAGTTATATCCTTATAAATGAACTAAATTTAAAAATAAAAAAATAAAAAATTGGGTGGGTGTTTATTTTTAGAAAATTATTTAAATAAAAAAATTAAATTAAAAATTAAAAATATAAATTGATGAGTCTGTGTTTGGTGTGTGAAAATGGTGTGTGGATATGCGGTATCTTTCTCGAATGTGAGCCATACAACAAACTAGTTTTTATTATCACCCGTGCAAATAATTATTTAAATTTTAATCTCTTTTATTTAAATAATTTTTCCAAATTGAGATTTTATTATTTTAAATACACTTTTAAACAATTAAATATATATATATATTTTTTTTTTGATTATTATTTTATTCGGTCCATATATCATACTTTTAATTACCAAAAAAAAAATTTATAAAATAAATTTGATTTTTAATATAAAGTTTAGTTTTTCATTTTAATTGCGAAAATTAAGGAAAAGAAATAAAATTTAATTTTTTTTATTTTTTTATTTTTTTTTTTTTTTGAATTATTACTATTTTATCTTGGCACCTCATTATTTAGGTGAGAGAGTATAAACACATACCAAAGCTCATTTTGAAAGGTTAGCAGAAAAATATTTTTAAAATTTTTATTTTTTATAAATTTTTTTTTTTTATAAATTTTTTTATTTTTTTTTTTTATTTTTTTTAAAAAAGTTTTGATTGATTCTTTAACCATACAAATTTTTTATTAATAGTTGCAAAATAGATATTATTACCAAAAAGTAATAAATATTAAAACAAAAAAAAAATAGAATAAAATATATTGTTAATTGTTTATTCAATCTTGTTCATTTGTTTTTTGTTGTATTATTTCATTAATAACCTAATCAAAATTAAAATCAAATATTAAAATCTTTTTTTTTTTTTTTAACACAACAGATATTATTTATAAAACTACAACATAGATTTTACATAAAAATAATACTCACACTCACACTCACAGACTCTGACACACACATCTACATCTCACAAACACAAGATCAAACCACAATTTATATCACACCATAACGAATTATTAAAACGCAATTACTCGTCATTTTTCTTTTTCTTTTTATTCTTTTTGATAATCAAATAATCAATCTTATAGTTTTATAATTATACTAATTTAAATCTTTTTTAACTTCTATATTTAGATTTTTGTATATTTAATTAAAAAAAAAAAAAAAGTTTTTCATTCACACATCAACACATAAATAAAAAAATATAAAATGGACAGCAAACAAATTCTTTCAGTTAGTGCTTTCTTTGCCCTTATTGCCACCGCTGCTGCTGGCAGTTGGAATGCTGGTGATACCATTGCTTTATTAATTGGTATTGCTATGTTTTTCGTTCTCTTATTAGCTTTCTTAGGTTGGATCAGCAGAAGAAACTAAATAGATTAAAACTCAAATATATAATAAAATATAAAAAAAAAAACATCAACACCAACAACACAACCAACCACAGCAACAAACTAAAATCTTTTTTCAACTTATAAACAAAATTATAATTAAATAAAAAAAAATATAAAAAATTAAAATTAAAAAAAATTATTTGTTTTAAATATATTACTATTTTATTTTTATTTAAATATTTAAGAGTCTACACCAAAATCGCAGTATACAAAGTTTTCATATATTTTAATCTCGTTACAACCATTAAAGATGAGGTCTGTAATATCATGGCCCCAAATTTCAAATCTGCCTGCACTACGTTCACGATTCATTAAGCCTGCGATATGGCCTGGGTCACCACCGTTACTTATTTCTTCTTCTTTGTACATCCATTGGTAAGCTTTTGTGTAGATAGCCAATAATTCGAAATCGGTAAGATGTTTTGAAGAGTCTCTGGTAATTTTAATAAAAGCCTCGATATCATTGTAATCTTCAATATGACAAATAATATATTCAATCTTATTTTCAGTTAAAACGGTTTCTTTGGTTACATCGCTATCATCTGTAGTTGGGATAGGTTCAGGGACAATTTCACCTTTCTTTATTCTTTTTTCTCTTTCATATTTTTCGGTCCATTCTTTTCTTTCTTTTGCTTTTTTAATTAAATTTGCTCTGTACTTGTCATAATCATCTACTTGATCTGAAGGTTGGCCAATATAAGGTTGAATGGAATTTTCGAGTGTTTTTTCAACTTTTGAAGTTTCTAATAATTCAATTTCTTCATCATTTGCATCTCTAATAGTGTTATCCATTTGTTTATTACTATTTCTTTTAATTTTTTTTTATTTGATAAACTTGTATTATTTATTGTTTTGTTTTGCTAAGCCAAATGAAAATGAAAAAAATCATTTAAATATCTTTTTTTTTCATTCTTGTTATGATAAACTTGTTATGTTTGAAAAGGCGCCTTGACTAAAAAAACGAAATTAAAAAAAAAAAAATTAATTTAATTATTTTAAAAAATATATTTATTTTTCTTCGAATGTTTTTATTTCTTTAAAAAATAAATATACATTTAAAAGTTTGGTTTTAAAAAAAATATTACTTTTATTTAAATTTTTCTTTTAAAGAGAATTAAATTTTATTTTAAATGCCCTTTTCAGAAACTGGTCTGGTGGTAATATATTTTTGGATACCAGCATTTGATTCAAAGTGTGCTTTTAATTCGTGTAAATGAGTGTAGCTGGTTAAACTTTCAGAATGACCTAAATAAATGAAATAATGGAAAGCAATGAAGACACAAAGATCGGCTAAGGTAACATAGTCACCACAAATAAATTTGCCAGTGCTTGAGGCTAATGATTTTTCAAATGAACCAAAGTATCTTGGAATAATGGTATCTAAAGTTTTAATATCTTCAACCTTTTTAATTTTTTGATTAGTAATTTTATTTTTTAATTTATTAGTTAAAAAATAAATAAATTAAAAATACTTACTCCTTTACGGACTTTATAGCCTTGTAAAACGACATCAGTGAGAACGGCATTAATAGTTTCATCAACAATAGCTTTATCTTTAAGAGTTTTACCTGTTTAATTTACTGTATTAATATATTTATTTTTTAAGGGGTTTATAATTAATACATACCGAGGAAATCAGCATTGGCATACTTTGAGGCAATGTAACGAATGATTGGACCGGTTTGGGTTAAGCTGAAACCATCATTATCAACAAAATATGGTACTTGACCATATTTGAGTTGGGCTCTGAATGAATCTTCGATTTTGTCAATGTATTTATCTTCGAAATCAATATCTAAATAGTTTAATAAAAATCTTGGGAATTGTCCTAAAACAAGTACTGTAAAGTATGTAAATGAAGGTTTTTGTGATTGATCCATTTTGTTTGATTGATTGGTTGACAATTTGAAATTTACGAAAAAAAAAAAAAAAATTAAATTATAAAATAATTATTTTTTAATTTTAGGAATTATTTTTTTATTTTTATTTTTTATTTTTTATTTTAATTTTTTTTTTATTTAAATTTCTAAAAAAAAGTTTTTTATTTATTATTTTATGTGCAAAATGTATTGATCAAATAGGAATCACTTGAATCAACAAAGTGGCAACCAATGGGTTCTTCTACAGTGTTTGTTAATTCATTACACTCATAGTCTTTATAGATTTCAAAGGAAACGGTGCCACCAGAATTGCATGATGTGTAAATCTTACCAGAATCACAAATACCTAGAGGAATAGTATTATACAGGATAATTGATTCATCAGAGCAGCCTAAAGAAGTGTTTTTATGCATTGCTATTATATATGACATCTTTGGTAAGTTTACGGTTTTTGTACAGCTTGTTGTAAAACCTTTATCTGAACATTGGTTATTTTCATTTGTTTTATAGTTGTATTCTTTAACACAATCATTATATGCATATTGTTTATTAATCGTTGTTTTTTCATCACACATATATTTGCTATGTCCTATACATTCATTTGTTTTCATTATTGCCAATATTCCTGTTCCACTACAATTTTGGTTACTATATCCAACAAAATTTACCCATTCTTGGCAAAATACAATTTTAAAAAATATTAAATTTAACAATATAATTTTAAAAATTTTCATTCTTTTTTTTATTTCTTTTATTTATTTTTTTGTTTATTTGTTTTGTGTATCTACAATTTTTTAATATGGTCTTTTTTTTTTTCAAAAAAACAAAAACACAAAAAAACAAAAAAAAAAAAATTCACACACATACATTTAAAACAAGATTTAAGATTTGGTTGTGATCAATAACCACTTAACACATTTTAAAAGTTTGTTTTAATTTTATTTATTAATTTTTTATTAAAACAATAATAAACTTTTTTCAATTTATTAAAGATATAATTTATGCTGATTGTTAATCCAACAAAAATATTAAAATAATAAATAAACTTCAAATTTTTAATTTTTTAAAAACCTTAAACTTACTTGGGTAAACCTAAAAATTATTTTTTTATTTAAAGTTGTTTTAAAGATTTTTAATCATTTTTATATCAATATTTTAAATTATTCTTAAATACTTCCATCATTAAATTTGAATATTCAAATAATGGTAATATAAAAATTCAACTTAAATATGAAGATTGTCTTTTTCAATTTATACTTAATCAAAAAAATGTTTGTTACCTAAAGAGTGCAATTAGTCAAGTGAAAGATAAAATAGAAGATTAATTTTAATTTGGCAAAGCCATAATTTAGGTAAAATAAAAAGATACCTTCGAAAAAACTTTCAAATAAATATTTCAATTTATATAAGCGGGTCTCTACAAAATAATAATGTTTTTTAAAGGTTCAAAATGTTCACTTTTTCATACAGAAATATCCAATTCTCAAGATTAGACAGTTGAGTTGGAAAAGGGCTGGTTTTTTGCTGATAAAACTATATTCTTATAAATGGGAAACTACAAAATCGACTCAGGGAGAAAGAAACGGTCAAATAAATATTTTGGCCAACGAAGACCAAGTGGTGAAATGAGCGACCACTTACAATTGTCTAACACTTTTGGTACTATTGTATATGTCTATCAAGGGTAACACAAATGCCAAAAAATATTTATGTCAATAGAGGCACTTTATGGCAAAGTAGAGTTTTACTGATGATGTGCTTCTTTCAATTGCTCAATTCATTAGACCGCATTTTTGACCTTTTGCTATGAAAAAGTAAATAGAAGTCATATTCTGCCCTATTCACCATAACCTAGTATTATCGAGAAATAATGGTCAGTTTTAAAACGAAGAATTAATTTGGCTTCTATCAGCTACCTACGTCATAATTTCAATCTGATAATATGTAGAGTTCGAAAAACCTAATTATTCAAACCATTCAATTCCTGATCAGAAAAAAGGTAAGCATGAATATTTTGAATTTAGTTCATGCTTACAAAATTGGATTTGAGTTTTCAACATTTCTTTTTGTCCTCTGTTGATAGGGTTCTTTTTTGTTTGTTTTGTGAGCCTATTTCTGTTTAGGAGTTTTAAATAATTCTCCTTGACTTTTTCCTCTATTTCCATGTGGTCTTCTCCTGGTAGAACGACTTCTTTTTTCTTTCTTGTTGGATCTGTTTTCCTTGGAGTGAGCATTGGTTTGGTTAATAGGTTTGTTGTTGATGATTTCGATATGCTTTTCAGTTGTAAGTTGAGTTGTCGAAATTTATTACGTCAGAAGCGTTAGACCACTTCGCTAACCTGTCAAGTTGTTGAAATTTATGTACCCCGTATATTAATTTTCAAACACCAACTCCAGATTAGCAGTTAATAGGTTTTTTACACCTTCCTTTCAATTTTATAGCCCAAACAATGTGTTTTTTATCCTGTTATGGAATAAAAAAACCTTGTAAGGAACCGAATAAAGAAATTTCAACAACTTGACAGCTTAGCGAAGTGGTCTAACGCGTCTGACTTGAAATCAGATCTCCTCGGAGGCGCAGGTTCGAACCCTGCAGCTGTCGATTATTTTAAGTTTCTAAAAATCTTCCGGGTGATTTTTGGGAAACTTTTTTTATGGGGCCATAAAAACATGCTTTCGGAATTATCTTCTGAGGAAGCAATGATAGCCAATTGGTCGAACTTATCTTCACTTTTAAAAAAAAAAAAAAAAAAAAAAAAAAATTGGTCCAACGAATTTCGAAACCCAGTCTCAGTAGGTTTTCTAAATCACACACGAACTGTGCCCAACTTGTATGCAGTGTGGTAAAACTCATATAAGTATTAAACACATACCAAACAAACACAATAAACAAACTGATGACTTAATGCATCATTAAGAATCATCTTCACTTTTTAAAAAAAAAAGAAAGTCTATATACAACTAAACACAAACCTATTTCAATATATTAAATCAAAAATAAATCAAGTTAGTTTGATATATCTGATCTTGGTAAACTACAATAACTATGGATAATGATAGTTATAGGGTGCTATAGTCATACCTGTATTGATGCTTATATTCACATCTCTTCAATAATAAACTAACAATATAATATTTTAAAAAAAATAATAAATAATATTTTTATTTAAAAAAAACATAATGATTCCAATTTTTTTTCGTAACTACCATTAATAAAAATACAATAAATATAAAAACCTCAACCAATTCAAAACCAAAAGAAAAGGTTGAAATTTTTTTTTTTTCAAAAAACAATAATCAACATAAAATAATATAATACATATTCATAACTAAAACCTCAAAAAATCCAAAATCAAAAGAAAATGTATGTTTTACTATTATTTTTTATAAAAAATACATTTTTTCAACACAGTTTTTAAAATAGCTCAATAAATAATAACAATAGTAATAATAATCTTTTTTTCTTTTTCGATTATTTTCGAAGTCTACTATCATCTAAATAGTAGAATGAATAAAATATAAATGGGGGAAAGCTACTTTAGGCATAAACAATCTAATATTACAAATTCTCATTGAATAGGAAAGGAGGGAATAAAAAAATAAAAAGAAAATTATTTTTATTAGAAATGTTTTTAAACTACTTTTATTTAAAAGAATAATTTAATAAAAAAATAAAAAAATAAAATTATTGATAAAACATAAACAAAGGAGATATTGAAAATATAGATATTGAAATCTTCCAATTTAAAAATTGCTTTTTTTCTTTTAATAACTTCAACAGTTAGTGGTGGTATATATTCTCTAGGTCCGAATACATCATATTTGGTACCTGATTTACGTTGAATAGTCTTTATAGTATTGTTATTATTCTCACCTGGAACTACAATGGTTTCTTCAAAGTTTTCCATAACTTTAACATGAACTGCATCTTCTGCTTCTAAAACCATAACATTGTGGACAGTGGTATAGCTTTCACCGGGGAATGTAAAAAAGTTCTTTGGACCTTTAACAATTTTTCTTTCACCAAGTTTATTGGATTGAGTCTCTTCATCCCATGGGTTATCAATAATTGTATATTGAAGTGCTGTTAATGATGTGATATTAACTTCTTTTTCTACTTTTACAGTTGGTTGTGGTAAATATAGTGGGGTATCACTTTTTGTTATTAACCAAGTGTCACCTTTTTTTCTTTCGATACCATCATCATCGGTGAATTTTCTAGTTGCCTTAACAATGATTGCTTTGTTGTCATTTAAAACATATGGCATAACAACTTCTTTTAATCTTTCATATGCATCCAATATATAGGGACCCTCAACAGTCATTAACCATTCGTCACCACTTTTTCTTTTCTTTCCGTAAACCTTGTCTGTAAAGTCATTTATTGCTTCTAATTTCAAACCACAATGTGCCTTAACAATGGTAGCATTTCTTAATTCTTTTACCTGTTCCTCCACACGGGGTTTATAAGTTGCAGGTCCTTGAAATAACCATTCATCACCAGCACTAATAAGTTTATTTGTTTCGGTATCAATAAAATCCACTAATGCTTTAATAACCAATGCTTCATTATTTAATACAACTTGAAGAGGCGAAATTTTACCAACCATAAACTCACCTGGGTAAAGGGGGAAAGGCTCACTCTGTTCGAATCTAACCTCTCTTTGTCCATGCTTTAATTTAACCTGTCCATGTTTATCTATAATTATTTTTTTTTCATCGTCTAATAATACAGGAGATTCTATAATGCAATATTCGCTACCTGAAAAATTATAAAGAGTTAATATGATTTTTTATAAAAGCTTAAAGTATAAAACATACTTTGAATGGTATGCATTTTTGTTGGATTAACAATAATTTTTTCAGATTCTTTAACTAATAAAGTTAATGGTCCACTAACCATTCTAATAAATTTTAATAAAAAAAAAAAAATTTTAATATTTAATTTTGAAGAAAATAATTACAATTACTATAATAATTAATATTTACCTTGCAATATTTGTATTAGTATCTAAAATATGTGCATAATAGAATGGTGGGATTTTAATTAAAGCCATAGAAGACATGGTTTATAAAATTTTTACTATATTTAATTTGTTTAATCAAAAAAATAAAAAAAAAAAAAATAAAAAAAAAAAAGAAAAATTGATAGTATCTATCAAATAAAAAATATTTATTATTTTGTTGATATCAATAAATAAATAAATTATAGAAAAAAAAAAATTTCAAATTTTTTAAATTAAAATTTTGGGAGATAATAAAGAAAAAAAAAATTTCGTGTAAAAATCTTTTTTTGTTTAATTTTCTTTGATTTCACACACAATCTTTGATTATTTTTTTATAAAAATAAAAGTATAGAGGAAATATAAAAGAAATGAAAACTATATGATTAAAAGCTAAATAAGATATCTAATATAACCCATCATTTAGAAATCGATATCTAATTTTACAAATAAATTGCAAATAATGATTTAAAATATTTTTACAGTTTTTATTTTTTATTATGATAATTATTAAACAGTTAAGGAAAATTAATGAAAGAATAATTGTTATAATTTTTTTTTTATTAGCATGATATTTTTTAGATTTTTTTTTGGAAATTGGATGAATTTATTTATAATTGAAAAAAAATCTTTTTTTTTTTTTTTAATTTTTTTTTTTGATTTTTTTTTTAAAATAATTTGAATTGAAAATACCCATTATAATAAAATCTTTAGGGTAACGAAAATAATGATAAAAAAAATATTTGTTTTATTATTTATTTTTATTTTTAAAATAAATAATAGCCAAATCATATATAATAATGGGGACATTAAATTGTATGATTACCCATCAAATGTTTATTCAAGTTATGGAACCAAAAATGGAAATACAATTTGTAATAACGATCTTGTGTATTGGATGCCCAGCAATACTTTTGAAATTAAAGATATTCAACCAAACATTCCATTCACCCGAAATACTAAAAATGTTTTAGTTTTTACCTTAAACACTCCAGTATCATCAAATATTTATAAATTTAATTTAATTATTACAAATACCTCCTCTTTGTCGGAATCACAATATACAATTAACTTTTTATGTGAAAGTAATTATATTTAATAGCCATATTACATTTATAAAATATATTGCCTTGGGATTTGATAATAACCATTTTTTTTATTTTATCATTCATATAGGTATAGATACAGAAAAGTTGCAAATTAAAGCTTTGTTCGATAAACCCTTACCAGATAAAAACACGGTAAATTTTTATTATATATATGTTTCAATTAAAGATTTAAAGTATCCATTAGATCTATTGGCAACATCACCTACTTTCTCAAATGAAGTAATTAATACAGAAAGATTAAATAAAGAGCTTTACAATTTAAAAATTAATAAAGAATTTGAAAAAATAATAGATGTTAATATAATCATAAATATATCTATTCAGTCAAAGCAATTTTCTATTACATTAAAACCAATTTACCAATCATCCTCTTATCAGTTATTAAAAGTAAAGTCATTTCCCAGTTCTCTTGCAGGACCTTTTATATACTATCCATTTTCAGCACCAGGTCTATTTTTAACATCTAACCTAACCAACTCCAATTCGATGTTGATATATAACACAACAAATTTCCTAGGTGAATATATAAAAAAAATAGGTCAACAAGTTGATAGTAATGGAAATTTGCTATATACTTATATTGCACCATTCAATTTTTACACTGGTAGTAATGGGGATCAAAAATATTTCATTAAATACAACAATGGTCCAAATTTAGCTACATTGGAAAATTCTATTGAATTTGAAAGTAAGATATTTTAATTAAAGTATTATATTTATATAAATAAAAGGATTCTTACTATTTTTTTATTAAACAGTAAAATCTCCCCAATCTCCTTTACAATCAACCTTAAGAGTTGAAGATACCTTTAGCCATAAAATAGGATGTGTTAAATTAAACTGTCCATTAAATAGCTCCCCAATAAAGTATCAATATTTCGGTCTTAGTTTTGAAGCTGAGTATCCTTATGGTATAGTTGAAGGATCACCTACAGAGTTTACTTTTAAAAGCTTTTACCATTTTAAATTAGCAAATGCTGCTTTTGATAATGCTTTAGGTGTTTCCCAAGTATATACCGGGATTAATTATAATGCCCCTCTTGATGAAGAGAGTTCAACAGGTATGTAATATTATATAGATATACTGGTTTAAAAATTTAATACTTATTGTGTTCCTTTTTTTAGACACTTTACCACCAACAATTTATATATTCGAACTAGAACAAATTATAGCAAATAAATATCTATTAAGGGTAGGTGCCCAGGACCAAACCTCAATTTCAACATTCCTATTGTATAAAAGATTTGGTTATGAGACCTTGGTTAGTGGAGATTCAAAGGATGGTATCTTTGAAATGATTATAGATATATTTCAATTTAATTTTTTTAGTGTTTACGACTACTTTTCCAATAAAATAGAAATGACTGAAAACGCAATAGCAATTGTTTATCCAAATAACATACCACTATTGATAACTCCTAAGCAGGTTCCATACGTCGATTGTAAGTATTTCTATTTATTAAATTTTTTTAAAAAAAAATATTCTAACTCCTATATTTACATTTTTAGTTATAATAGAAGATGTTAGGTTTTTAAAGAATGATATCGATATTTTAAATCAACCTTCCAACAATTCAATTTACTTTTATTCATCAAATCTCCCAAAGGACTATCCTATTACTTTCCAACTACTTGACACCATATCTTATTATGATCAACTTGAAGGATTTATACAGCCTTTACCTGTCAAATGGAGTAGCTCACTTCAGCTTTTCTATTGTAATTTTATGGTACCAAAGAATACAGATGCATACGAAATAGATTACGAATTTAAAACACCTTATACTACAATTAAATCTGCAGCATATTCACCACTCAGGGTAGCAAAAACCAACTATGATAATGATGGCCCAATGATCACAAAAATTACAAACGCAAATACATTCGAAAAAACTGGATGGAGAATTACAATTACCGATGAAACCAATGGGTTTAGCAATGGATATATTAAAGCAATAGGTTTAAACGATTTTTCAATATTCACTTTTAATTTCACCTTTCAAAATGCAACTAGTGGCACTATTTTTAATGGTGTCTATGATATAATAATAAATGTTCATATACTCTGCACAGTTCAAGAATATGAAATTGATTTTATTTATTTAGAAGACACAGGTAAAAGATTTTCTCAATATTCAAAATTTGGTTCAAAGTATATTGCAGCAAGAAATCCCTTCAGAAATTTAGAAGAATCAATAGAAGATTACAAAACAATGACAATATGTTCAATTATCAATAATGGAACTCGTTCACCAGATCTTCTATCGTTTAATTATTCAAAGAATGAAATTGATGTTGGTGGAGTTGATAGAACAATATCATTTTGGTTTACTGCTGAGGATACTGAAAGTGGCTTAATGCCATCTCAAAAACCCAAAGTATATTTAACAGCTTCCGATATGCAATTACTTCAATGTGAGTCAATAATTACTGAAAAAAAAGAATCTATGACCTCGTATCAATGTGACATAGAAGTACCTCTTGGATTTGGTTATCCAAATGACTTATTAGTATCTGTGCATGGTTTCATTAATAATGGTGGCTTTTATAGTGGGTTTTCAAATGATGCAGATGTGCTTATATACCATTCAAGAGTTAAGGTAATCTATTCAATGATCCCAATGCTTATCAGCTATGAACCAGTTTATATATATTCAACATCAGATATTGTAATATATGGCAAATCTCTAAAAAACACAATATCCACTATGATTAAATATTCAAATAATGTTGTAAAGTCATATAAACCTAGCAGAATTATTGGTGAAACAGTATTAATAATTAAAAGAGATGAAAGTATAGAAATTACTGGTCCATTTAGAGTTACTGCCATATCACAATCAAATAGAACCAATATAATTACAATCTACCCAATTGATGGCGGGTCTACAGGACCAATGCCTCCAACTACAAACAAACCACAAAAATGTCAAGGAACACCTCCATGTGGTGGCCCATCTCGTGGCCATTGTGTTGAAAATCAAGGTTGTGTGTGCAATTCCCCATATGTTGGTATAGATTGCTCATCCCAGGTTATTATTGTACCCAAGCCATCAGTCAACAACACTGAGCCAACTGTTCAAATTCCAATAAATGATGACGATGAAGTTGATAATGTTCTCTACAACTCATTGGTATCTATAGTATCGATTAGAGAAATATCAAATATTAATAATAGTGCAATAGGAACATATAATTTTGATAAGTGGTATTTGAAACCTATAGATCAATCGACAAACCAATACTATACCAACTTGACAATATCATCACAAACAGTTCATATTACGGCAACATTAAAATGGTTTGAAAATATTACAAATATTAATTTTGCAAATCAAAATCTAACCATGAATCCATCATCAATTAAATATACCATAGAAATTTCCAACTATCCATTTGAAAATCGTATAAACTCTCTTCAACTTATAATGTCAGCATCATTTATTTCAAGCAAAACTAAAGATACCTGCTCATTAAAAGAATTTGACGAAACCACATCCGGTGATAATTCAAATTATTTAAAAATTCAAATAGAAAACAAATCGTTATATGGCAGATTCATAAAAAGAGCTATTATTAATGATGGAGCCGCAACAGTATCGTTACAAAATGATTTAATAGACTCTGAAATGAATACAATAACAAATCCACACCAAATTCAAACCTATATAGGAATATTAATGCCATGGTTCGAAAATAATATAATTATAGATCCTGACTTTTCAGTGTTGGTTGATAGTAACTCTGCCTCTTTATCATCAAACTCCACATGCGCAAACAATGATCAAAAATTATCAAATACCAAAATTGCTGGAATTGCTATTGGTTGTGCTGCTTTTACAATCATTGCTGTGGTATCTGTAATATATATTATTCACAAAAAAAAAGTAAACAAAAGATTTTTAAAAAATATAGATGTCAAACTAAAAGATATGCAATAAATAAACACATAAAAAAACTTTTTTTTTTGGGTTTCTTTTAAAAATTATATTTTTATACATTAATACTACGCTCTATTACTTTTTTATTTATTGTTTAAATTATTCTTCATCCTCTTCATCCTCATCATCTTCCTCTTCTTCTTCTTCATCATATTCCTCTTCAATTTCCGGTATATCATCATTTTTAAATAATTCCCAATTTACACTATTACCATTAGTTTTATTATCTGTTGCTGTTTCTTCTGATGTTTCTTCTTCTGATTTTTTCCCAATATTAATAATATCTGGTTGTTCATCTTTAACAAATGTTGAAAAATCTAAAACTTTCTTTTCCTTTATCTCCACTTTACTTAAAGCATCAATTTCTAAAATAAAAATAAGATTATAAATGAATGACCTATGATTATATTATATTATTATTTAAATATAACTTACGTGAGTTTAAAAAATCAAAATTTTTTTTAGCCTCCTCTTCTTTCTTTTGACGTATTTTAATACATTTTTCTTTATGACCATTGCTCCAATGTTCAACTTGGCAATCTCTAGAACAATATGATGCCTTAGTTATTAAAAAATTGGTTAATAAGTAAAAACCTAATGAATGTGTTTATATAAATTAATACATACAGTGCCACAAGCAGAACATAATAAAAGTTTGGTTTTTGTATTATCGATTTTACCACTTTTACATTTATTATTTGAACATTTTGCTGCTAATGCTAGAGTTGGGTTAAATAATTCACCATTTTGTTTTAAAAGTAATTCTTGTTGTGATTTAAAAAGTTCTTTTGGCTCTGTTGTTACTTTTTTACTTTCTGTTTTTAATTTAGAATTTAATTTGTTTGCTGCATTATTGCTATAATAAATGAAAATATTTAGTATCATTATAAACTATATTTAAAAGTTAAGTTTTATGAGTTTTCTATTTACATACTTTGCATCTTTTCTAATGCCTAACTTTGCTTTTTTAGTTTTACCTCTTTTTGTTGTATATACTGATGCCATATTATTATAATTTACAATAAATGTTTTGATAATTAAACACAATTATAAAGTAATTAGTATTAGTTGTTGCTAATTTAAAAAAAAAAAAAATTATAATTTAAAAAAAAAAAAAAAAAAACTCGTTTTAAAAATAAAAAAAATAAAAATAAAAAAAATAAAATAAAAATAAAAATAAATAAATAAATTAATTTAAAATATTACAGAAATTCATAGATAATAAAATTAATTTATATTTTAATAAAATTCACTGGTATAAATAAATAAAAACTATTATTTAATCTGTTTTGGACTACTAAAATCACTGTTTAAAAAATTAAAAACAAAAAAAAAAAATTAAATTAAAAAATAAAAAATAAAAAAAAATGAAAATAAAAAAAAAATGAAAAGGAGGAAAACTATATAAACCATTTTAATTAGTATGTTTATTTATTTGATTTTTTAAATATTTTCCTATTTAGAATAAAGGGAAGAACTTCATCATTTAATAATATTATTCAATATGAAAATAAATAATTAATAAATTAAAATCAATGAAAATTTAATTTTTTTTTTTTTATTTTTTTTTAATTTTTTCGTTTTTTTTTTTTTTTAATAAAATTTTTTTTTTTTCTTTTTTTTCAAAATTTTTTATTTTTTTTTATTTTTTTTTTTTTTTAAATAAAATCATTAAAGTTTTATTTAATTATTTGTTTTTTTCGAAAATGACAAAATTATCAAAAATTTTAATTGGAACTGGTTTCTTATATGCAAGTTATCATATCAACAACTTGGTTAAAGAATATAAAAACTTTGTTTTAGAAGACGGATATAATTTATCAGATTTTGGATTTGAAGGTGGTGATGAAATTACTCGTCCAAAAAAGAAACAACAAAGAAAAGGAAACCAACAACAATTAGCAGAATCATACCTTGAAGAGTTAGCTCTTTTATCACAACGTGGTAAGAATGCTTTTGATAAAGGTGATTACAAGCTTGCTTTCCAATGTTTCGATCGTATTGTTGAAATCTCACACGAATACCCACCATTCTTCCAATATGCCAGAAATGCTAATTTATTCTTAGTTAGAATTGCTCAAGAAGCTGATGAACCAGAATTATTTGTTAAATATAACAAAGCGTAAATTTCTATTTATTTAATTAATTAATTAATAATATTAATAATAATAATAATAATAATAATAATAATAATAATAATAATAATAATAATAATAATAATAATAATAGTTATAGTTATAATAATTGGAATACATCGAAAACAATAATAGTTATAAATATTAATATCTTTTTCTTTTACTATTAGTTATATTGAAACTTTCGAAGATCCAAAGACTGAAGAGCTCTTTGAAATCATTAAATGCACTGAAGAAGTTACAGAAAAACTCACCACATTAGGCAGTATTTCAGAAGCTATCGATTTTGCCAAATCAATTCTCAAAAACAAGAAATATAGTTTTAGTGAAATTCACAAGATTCATTTATATTCAATTTTAGCTTCAATCTACAAAAAGAATGAAAAATACCTCAAAAAAGAATTAGATGCTAACTTAAAATGTGTTGAATATGCTAAAAATACTGGTGATAAAAATGCTTATGCAAATTATCTTTACGAATTAATTCAATATTATATTAGAGTTAGTAAGTTATCATTTTATTTTTAAATTAAATATAATATCATCCCCTATTAATAATAATAATAATAATCAATAATCAATAATCAATATAATTATATGATATTAATTTTTTTTTTTTATAGAAAATGTTGAAAAAATTGAAGAATCAATGAAAGAAATCGAAAAACTTGTTTCAACTCAACTTTTAGTTCCAATCTTCAGACTTCTTTGTACAAACTTTAAAAAGAATAATATGTATGATTTATATATTAAAACCCAAAGAAAGATGATTACTTTAGTTAAAAAAGAACCAACATTAAACAAAGCTAACATTGAAAGCGTTGTAAATTCTTGCCAAAACAATATTGCTACCATTCTTTACGAAAAAGGTGATGTTGAAGAATCATTAAAGATCTTAAACGAACTCAAGAGATCAGAATACCTTTCATTTGCTCCATTAACCGAAACCAAATATTTAATTTCAAAAGAAGTCTCATCTGCAGATGGTGTTCAAAAGATTGTTATCAGCGTCAAACCAAACTCATTACCAGAAGATACCACTAATATTATTGAATGTGAATTTGAAGGTTCATATTATCTTAATGAAGTTGCTGCTAATGAAGAGCCAAAAGCTGAAGAACAAGAAGAACAAAAACCAGTTGAAGAAGAACAAAAACCAGTTGAAGAGGAATCAAAATCAGTTGAACAAGAAGAACAAGAAGAAAAACCAGTTGAAGAAGAACAAAAACCAGTTGAACAAGAAGAACAAAAACCAGCTGAAGAAGAAGAACAAGAAGAAAAATCAACTGAAGAAGAATCAAAACCAGTTGAACAAGAACAAGAAGAACAAGAACAAGAACAAGAAAAACAAGAACAAGAAGAAAAACCAGTTGAAGAAGAAAAACCAGCTGAAGAAGAAAAAGTTGTTTATGAAGAAGTTGCTCCAGTTGTCATTGAAAAAACAATCGAAAAAGAAGTTGAATTCGAAAATGATTCATCTAAATTAAATCCAACCGGTTGGGTTATCTCGCAACTATTAAATTATACAATCACGATAAATCTGAATTACTTTCAACCCATTTGCAAGTTATCCCAATGCAAACCCCAAAACATAAATTAATTTAAAAAACTTAATTTACCAAATCAAATCACCCCTATAAATATACACACCCTCAAATAATTACAATTTATTAATATAATTCATTTTATTTTAAAAAAATAAAGGTTTTTTTTTTAAAAAATATTTGTTTAAATATATATTTATATTATTAATATAAATATTTTGTTTTATTTTATTTTGTATTTTAAAATAACATCAACTTGATCATCGGTTAAATCTAAATAATGTTTGAAACGACCGCCTCTTTTTGGATTATTTAATTGTCTTTCTAGTTCGGATGAACAAATGTCTGTTAGAAATGGTGTATATTCGACAAACAATTTACTGGATGTAATATAACCATTTATAAGAGATAGATTATCTATAATTCCTTTAAAGTGGTTATCTTCAATAGGTGTTTTCTTAATTTGTTTATATTGATGTTTAATAGTTAGTGTATTGATACCGCCATCATAGTTGATATTGCTGCTGTTGTTATATGACAATGGTTTTAATAAATTACAATTAATTGATTCGATTGAAATTGCTGTTGGTATCTCATAGTCCAATGATTTTGGAAAATAGTTTTTATATGAAAAGTCATCGTTGTGGATTGATTCTGGTGATGCAATAAATGTTGGTGAGTTTTCTACAATTTCGAATAATTCAACATCATCCTATTAAAAAAAAAAAAGGTTAGATTAAAAATAATATAACGTGCAAAACAATATTTTAGCTTACAGTTTTATTTGATGGTTCATATGGGAAATTTCTTTTTAATAAAACATCATTTGTTGAAAAATCATCAGATATTTTCCATATATCTTCGAAACTTATATAATTTGTATCTTGTGGTAAACTATTATTATCATTATTATTACTATTGTTATTATTATTATTACTATTATTGTAAATATTATTATTTATTATAAATTGTAAAAAGTTATTAAAATACAAATCAATATCAAAATCTTCTAATGAGAAATTTAATACGTCAAACCTGTCATTGAATAGTTCTATAGGGCATATTTCATCGTTATTATTATTTGTGTTGTTATTATTATTATTATTATTATTTATGGTACTATTATTGTTATTAAATAATAGATTTAAAAAGTTATTATTATATTTTTTTAATAAGTTATTAAACATATAAAATGTTAAATTTAGGTTATTATTATTACTATAATTATCATTGTTTTTAAATATAAATTCTAAATTGTTTAATGATTTTCTAATATCACAGTCATTATTCTCGATGAATGAGCAAATATCAAGTTTATCCATCATTTCTTCCAATATATGATGTTTACCTTCGTTAATTAAAATAAAGCAGCAGTAAAGTGATAATGATAAACTCGATGGTTTTGCCATATAGAGAGTAATGATACCGCTATCATTGACCAGTTTCGATATTGATGAGTTGATTTCATTACAAATTAAAACGATTGGAACCTTGGTGGAGTTTAATAATGACGAAATTGAATTTGTAAAGCCTTTATCATCTTCATATAGGATGTCAACTTCTTCAAATAAAATTAAGTTTTTATTAAATTCATCGTCGTTCGTTATTGAATTTTGTGATGATGATAAAGTGGATGAGTTGGATGATTTTAAAGATTTTCTACCTCTCTTCTTTTTTTCTTGTTGCTCTTGTTCCTGCTCTTGTTGTTTTTGTAATTCCCTTTGAATCTCTTCATTCGTTTTCTTTTTATTGATATTTAATGCTTTTGATTGAGTTGCTTCACCTAAATAGTCGATGGTCGCTCTGCCACTTCTTTTATTTGATGGATTGGTTTCTAAAATTGTAAAGTTGTATTGATATGCTTTGTTTGCAACCAACGAGCTTTTGCCGCAACCATGTGGACCAACAATTAAAATGGATGAATCCAGTATATCATCCTTTTTTTTTTTTGTTGCTTTCTTTTTCAATTCTAATTTATCTTTCCACCCTTTCATCCAATCGCCGAAAAACGTTATAATTTCTTCATTCACTTTATTAAAAAGTAAAAAATCTGTTGGTAAATGATATTTGTTTTTTAATAGACTATTGTTATTGTTATTGTTATTGTTATTGTTATTGTTATTGTTATTGTTATTGTTATTGCTTTTATTATATGTATTAAATTCATTATAGTAGTATTTTATATCATCGACTGTAATAATTTCATTATAGTTTTTAAAATAGTTAAATAATATTTCAAATAATTTATCTTCAACAATTGGTTGTTGCTGTTGTTGTTGGGATTGAGACTGTGAGATTGGGGAGGATGTAATATCTATGAAGTCCTGTTGTTGGTATATTGGTGAGGGTAGTTGGAGTGATTGCTGGGATGGTTGTGATGATTGTGATGATTGGGATGATTGTGATGGTTCAATAAAAGATGAATCAATGGAGTGCGATGATTGGGATAATAGAGATTCATTTCTTTCGATGATATCTAAAATATTTGAAAAGTTCTGAATTAATTCATTTCTTGATATAACCATACTGCTGTAGTCTGGTGATTCTTTTTTTGAGACTGATGCTTTAAACCTTCTCAGTAATGTTGGATCCATTGGTTTTTTTGAAATATCTTGGTCATCATTAATATTATAGTGGCCTATATGTTGATCATCAACTGGGAACTCCAATAGTCTTTGAATAGTGTATTTTGGTTTAAAACTGTGGTTGTCATCATCTAAAACTATAATTTCACCATCGATTACTGTTGTTAAAGTTGGTTGAGGTTTGGTAACTGGTGCAAAAAAGAATGGGTGAATTGGTTTATTTGAGTACATCTTATCATAATCTTGATTGGTTTTTATAATTTCATTTCTAAACTTTTCTTGTTCATTTCTTGTAAAAATTTCGTCTTTTTCTTGTTTACTTAAAAACATATCGGGAACATTACCAACCTTGTTTTTTAATTTCTCTTCGAAAAGTTGTTCATTCAGAATTTTTTGAGCCTTTTTTTTAATTTTTTTATCTGTCTCACCAAAAAATGGATGTAATGGTTTGGAGGAGTCATCTGATAATGGTGACATTGGTGATTCTTTGTTTTGTTCATTATTATTATTATTGTTGTTGTTACTATTGTGAATAATTTCTTCATTTGTTAATGTTGATGTTGTTGTTGCTGTAGAATGACCCAAAAAATTTAAAAGTGCATTACTGCTAGCTTCATTTGATTTTTTAGCTTTGGCTTTGGATTCTTTTTTTGCAGTTGGTTTTTTTGGTTTTGATATATCTGTGCCTTTATCTTCATCATTATTATCATTTCCATCTGTTTTTCTTTTTTTGTAAGGTTTTCTCTTTTTCTTTTCACCTTCAATATTGTTTTCATTATCTATATTGATATGGTCATTGACATTATTATTATTATTATTATCAATATCGTTATTATTATAATCATTGCTATTATTATCATTGTTTTTATTATCTATAGTATTATCTGCTGAACTTATATTATTATTATCATCATCTCCATCTATAGTTATTACAGTATTATTATCATTGTTTGTTTGTGGTTTTTTTCTTTTAAGTGTGGTAGAACTCATTTAAAACTTTATTAATTCCTTTTTTAAAATGTTTTAAATGAATGTTTATGTTAATTATTTATTTATTTGTTTATTTATTTATTTTTTTGAAAAAATAATTTTTTATTTTAAAATTTTTTTTTTTTTTTTAAATTTAATTTTTTTGCTTGGAAATAACAAAATGGGCGCCTAATTTTCCTCATATATCCAATTGTGTTTTAATAACAAAATTATTTTTTAATAATTAATAATTTAAAAATAACATTTTAATCTTTTAAAAATTTATTTTTTTAAATCGTATCACATTAAAAATAAAATAAAATAAAATAAATATTATAACATGTTATAGAAATAATATTATAGAGTTTTAAATTTTAATCAAATAAAAACCACACATTCTCGATATATAATAAAAATATAATTGATTGTTAACCAATTTGACACAAAGGTATGTATTTATTTATTATTAAAAAAATTTTTGTAAAAGAGAAACTTTTAGTTTTTATAAAAGAATCATATTAAATTGATAAATTTATTTATAAAAATCAAATATTTCAGAAACACTAAATTTCTAAATCTGTTTAAAAATATACTCATTGTATAAATTGTTTAAATATTTTTAAAAAAAAAAATTTTATTTTTATTTTTTTTTTATTTTAATTTTTATTTAATTTTTTGTCAAATTTTAATTTTTTTTTTTTTTTTTTTTTCCATAAATTAAAATGACAGATTGCATAACAATCGAAGATGATAGCGATGACGAATTTTTGAGGGATAATAGCAAAGAATTCAAATATTCAACTCCCACCCGATATGTAGATGGATTTCTTGTAGAAGAGAATGAAAATGAAATGGAGGAATATGAAAAGAATAATATAGAGTGGTCAGATGATGATAAACAAATAAAACATATTTATATTAATAATAATAACAACAATAGCACTAATGGCTCTAATAATAATAATAATAATAATAATAAAAATTGTAATGATAATGTAAATAAAAGTATAGATTTAGAAGAAGAAATTAGTATAGTTTCAGTAAATAACAGCAATATTAATAACAAACCGATTTTAAATAATAAAAAGAGATCCAATGAAGATATTGTTTGGGTAAATAATAGTTCTCAACTAAAATTGGTCACCTCACCATTCTCGGCAAAAATAAATAGTAAAAATAACAATAATGATATTCAAATTGTAAAAATAAATAATGTAAATAATATGAACAAACACAAAATAGATGAAATAAGAAATGCTTCAGTAAATAATAGTAATAATAGTTATAATAATGGTAATTATAATAATAATAATAATAATAATTATAAAAATATTAATAAACTACCGAGTCAATCACCAGTTAAAGCACCAAAAACAACAACTACAACAACCACAACAAATACCCTATCAACAATATCCTCAAACAACAATAGCAGATTTTATGATTTAGATTTTACAGCATATCAAAAAATTGATGACCAAAATGTTAAAAAAATTAAAGATCAATATAAAAAAGGTGCAAAAATTTATTATGAAAGAAGTCGTATTATTGATTCTGATATAGTTTTTGAATTAGACAAAGAAGAAGAAGAAGAATGCCAGGAAATACCTAACCCAAATCCGGAGGAAATAAAAAAACAAATAATCCAAGGAAGAAGTAATGATGATGAATTTTGGTATAGACAAATTGATGAAAGATTATTAAAGCCACATCACTTTTATAGTACCAATAAAACAATTAAAGTAGAGGAGGATAGTGAAAATGATGATGAAGATTTTTCGGTTTTTGAAAATAGTAACGGTTTTAGAAGAATTTTAAATTTTCAAATCCCAGAGAAATGGTTATTACATGTTTGCCACGATCAACTAATTGGAATTATCTATGACAGCAATTATAAAAAGAAACGTGTGAAATTTGGTGATGAAATATTTATCAAATCTTGTATGGGTTCACTTTATGTTTCCTTAGCCAGAGAACCAAAAGATACAATTGGTGTTTTAAGATCAGATGAAAAGAAAAGTACCAACTATCAAAGCGAATTACATCTTTTGATAACAGCTGGTTTTATTAAAGTTAATGGGAAGATTACTGAGTTTAGTTTAGATAAGTGTGATATAGATATTTATTTGACACATAAAAATCTGTTAAACGATAAAGTTGACAAAGTCAAACCAGGCCCAAATAAAAGTGAGTCAAGTCAAAGAATTGATGTTTTACAACAGTTTTTAAACAAATTATTCAAGAGTAGATTAATTTATAGGGATTTTCAACTTGACACAGATGGTACAACAGAAGATGTTAATGGTTCAATTAAAGGCTATAATCGTACCAATGACGATAAAAAAGTAAAAAAAGTATTAGAAAAGATTCAACAACCAGATTTCTTAAGAACATCATTACTTGGTTTTCAAAGAGAAGGTATTTGGTGGATGCTAAAGAGAGAAACTCATCCGTATGTAACATTTAGCGATGCTCAAGATAAATATTGGTTTTTGTATACAACAGCAAAGGACGAAATTCCATTTTATTTAAACTCTTTCTGTGATAAAATAACATTTTTTGAACCGATTACAAAAAGAAGACTATATGGTGGGCTAAATTGTGACGAAGTGGGCCTTGGTAAATCAATCCAAAGTATTACGTTAATACTAACCAACCATCCAGAGTTTTCAAAAAATAAATATCAAGAAAGAGCATATAAAGACTTTGAGAAGCAAATTGCAAATAGAAGCAGTCATCTTAAAAGAAGTAGTATGGTCAATACAAATTCAAAATATTTAACAAAGCCAAAGGCAACTCTGCTTATTTGTCCATCTAATCTTTCTGAACAATGGAAAGGAGAAATGGAGAAGCATATAAAACCAGAAATATTCAATAGCTTAAAAATTGTTATATATAAAAATGCAAAAAGAAAAGAATACACCATCAATGATTTACTCGAGGCTGATCTCGTAATTACAAGTCCAGAAACATTCACAATTGAATATAGAGTCTTTGAACAAGCTATTCGTGGTGGTACATCCAAAAATCCTTCACCACCACCATTATTAAGTGTTCATTGGTGGCGTGTTATTATTGACGAAGCACACAGGTTCGGTAAAAAAACTATATTTTTTAGAGGTATTCAAAATTTAGAGTAAGAATTATAATTTGGCAAATTTATATCAAATAAAATATATTTAGTTAAATTCTAATAATATTTTTTATTTTCCTTATAACATTAGTTCGATTAATCGTTGGTGTTTAACTGCAACGCCCACACCAAATACAGTTCACGATTTATATCCTATGTTACATTTTCTAAACTGCTATCCAATTGCGCAAAATACAAAAACATGGGATGAAATAGTCAATAGGTATCAAGTTGCTGGTGTTAAAGAGTTTGTAAATCCAATTCTTATTACAAGAAATAAAAATGACTCTGGTGTTAGACAAGTCAAAAGACATGAAGAGATTGTTAAATTGGATTTCGATAAAGAAGAAAAGATGGCTTATTCATTGGTATTTAAAGAATCATCAGAGGCTCTCAAAAAAATTGAAAATAAAGGCGGCTTAATGAGACATTATGCATTGTAGGTATTATATTATAATATTTGTAAAGTTTTAATTATTCCCAAAAATTTTTTTTACTAATATCAATTTAAATAATAATTTAGAATTTTTTCGTTGATTACAAGACTAAGAACATGCTGTGATCATATTACTTTGGTTGCCCCAAAGATTTCAGAACTGGAAAAAGAAAAAGTTTGCAATTTATGTAATGATGTAACTAAAGACCTACTATATAGCAAATGTAGCCATATTTATTGCCAAGTATGTATTGACAACATATTTTCAAGGTGCAATTCATTTTTATGTGAAAGATGTGACTCAACTATTTATAAAAATGGTTTCACAAAAGAAATAAAAGTAAAGGTAGTAGAAAAAAGTGAAACAGAAGAGATGATTGAGCTTTTAAATGATGTTATTCCAGAAGGTGTAAAGATAAAGAAAATTAAAAACCTTACCAAAAAAAAGAAAGATGATAAAGAAGAACAAGAGTTTAGAAAAGAAAAAGAAGAATTAGACAAAGAGATTCTTGGATCTATCGAAAGACTAATGGCCCAAGAAAATATTCAAAGATATCAGTGCCGATTGTATTCAACTAAAATTAAAGCCCTTTTTGAAGATATTCAAAACAATATGGTTGATACCAATTATTCTTATATTGAAGATGACCACGATGATTTCCAAATAAATAAAAATAGCATTAGTAACAATAATAATAGTAATAATGAAATAGATGAACATTCAAATGATAGTTATATAATAGATGATGATGATGATGATGATGAATACAAACCACTAAAATCATCAATATCATCAGAATCATCAGAATCATCAACAACCAGAAACAGAACCAAAATCAACAATAGTTTTGATGAATTAATTAATTCCGAAGATGAAGAAGAGTTTGAAAAAGAATTTACAATAAATGAACCAAAGAAAAAGAAATTAAAATCAAAAGAAAAGAAAGTGCCAACACCAAAGAAGAAGAGTCAAAAGCAAATTGAAAAGGAAAGAGACGAAGAACTAAGCAAACTACCATTGCCAGAAGGGAAAAATCAATTTAAATGTTTAGTATTTTCACAATGGACCAGATTTTTAGATTTAATTGAGGAATGTTTTAAACATAATGGTTGGAATTTAGATGAACATTATTGTAGATATGATGGTAAAGTTCCACTTAAAAAAAGAGAAAGTATCATTAAAGAATTTAGCAGGGAAAGTGGTGGCCCTAGAGTTATGTTAATCTCGTTAAAATGTGGTGGCGTTGGTCTTAATTTACATAGAGCTAACATGGTCTACATGTGCGACCCTTATTGGAACTCTGCTGTTGAAGAACAAGCTATTGGAAGAGTTGACCGTTTAAATCAAACTCGTGATTTAAAAATCAAAAGATTCGTTATGAGAGATACCATTGAAGAAAGAATCATGGCATTGCAAGATACAAAAAAAATCAATAGTAATATTATTTTATCAGATAGTTTTGACACCCTCGAATTTATTGATAATTGTCGATTATCTGTAGAAGATATAAAGGCTTTATTTAGAGATTTTTATATTAACAACATGGACAATAATAATATCAACAATGGTACCCCACGACAAACATCTCCAACAATTGCCTCATCTTATAATAATAATAATAAAAACAATAATCATAATATAAACCATAACAATTTTCGATATAAAAGTCAAGATAGCACATTTAACGATGAGGAAATATCATATCTTCGAGAATCAACACCAACTAAACAAACACCAACTAAACAAACACCAACTAAACAAACACCAACAAAACAAAACATTAGCTATAGAAATATAAACTCAAGTGTAAATAATAACAATAATAATAATAATCACAACAGAGAAAAACAAATTGTAAATATTGATTAAAAATAAAACTATTTTATAATGTATTTTTATAATTTAAAAGTGCATCTATTAAATGTGAATTCTTTGATGTTCCTTTATAATTTAATTCTTTACAAAATCTTTGTAAATCGTTTCTCTTTAATTTTTCTATTGAATCTCGTTCGACTCCAACTGATATTTCTTCACTCATTTTTTATTTATCAATATGGTTTTGTGGTGGTTTTTGAAAAGGAAAATAAAAATGTTACAATTAATAAAATTCCAAAATTTAAAAAAAAAAAATTTTAAAAAAAGCGCTCATTGTAATTAAAAAAAAAAATAAAAAATCTTCAAAAAAATTTTAAAGAAATTTAAAAAAAAAATAAAATTATAAAATTAAATAAATTTTTTTTTTTTTTTTTTTTTTTTTTTTAATGTATTTTCATTCAACAATCATACGAATTTCATTATCATATAATGAACTACTAAATTCTTGCTTTATTCCTTTTCCACATATCAATTATGAAATGAATTATAATAAAATAATATAAATGGAAAAATGATTTCTTTAAAAGGAAGATGTGTTTAATTTATTTGAAAAATAAAAAATTTTGAAAAAAAAAAACCTCCCCTGTTTCAAATTATTACCAATTTTGATTGTAGCAGATCTACATTTTTTTCTGCAATACAAGTTTTTACTTATTTTGGGATTGATGTTTTAAATAAATTAGGAAATAGTTATAGATTAATTAATTAATTAATTTTAAATTAAATTTTTAATCTAAAATATATAAAAGATTTTTTTAGCATTAAAGCTCCCGGGGGTTTTTTTGGCTTAAAACCTTCTTGGGTTTTTTTGCAAAAAAACTTTCCAGGGTTTTTTTGCCTTAAAATAATTAAAAGATTTTTTTTCCCTTAAAACTATCGGGGGTTTTTTAGCCAAAAAACTATCGGGGGTTTTTTTGCCTTAAAACTTTTGGGGGTTTTTTTTCAAAAAAACAAAAAAATGATTTTTTTGCCTCCAAAAAAAAAAAAAAAAAAAAAAAAAAAAAATTTTAATATATAAAATTTTATTAAAAGCTATAAAAAAAAAGAAAAAGAAATAATTTCAAAAAAATTATTTAAAAATTAATAAATATTTATATTTGATTTAAAATAAAATTAAAAGAAAAAAAAAAAAAAAAAAAAAAAATAATATAAATAAATATTTTGGAAAATGCAGCGTGATAATAAAAAATATATTAAATATTTTGGAAAATGTAGTGTGATAATAAAAAAAATCAATTATAATATATAATATACAAGTAAATAAAAAATTGATTAAGTATTTTGGATCATACAGAAATCAAAAATATTATTTAGCATAAAAAATATCAAGTAATATGGATCAAACAAATATCGAGTATTATTTAGCATTTAAAAAATATCAAATAACCTGGATCATACAAAAATATCAAGTATTATTTACCATTTAAAATATCAAGTAATATTTAGCATTTAAATATTTATTTAGCATTTAAACATATCAAGTTTTATTTATCATTAAAAATATCATATATTATGAATCATTTAAAATTTTCAAGTATTATTTAGCATTTAAACATATAAAGTTTTATTTATCATTAAAAAATATCAAGTATTATTTATCTTTTAAAAATATCATGTATTATTTATCATTAAAAAATATCAAATATTATTTATCATTCAATTAAGTTTTCAATCAATTATCTTTTGTTTTTTTATTGAATGTAATGATTATTGGTAAGTATTATTGATAAAATAAAAAGTAATATGGATCATACAAAAATATCAAGTAATATGGATCATGTTAAAGTATCAAATATTTAGCATTTATAAAATAAAAAGTATTATGGATCATAAAAAATATCAAATATTATATAGCATTTAAAAAATATTAAGTAATATGGATCACACAAAAATATCAAGTATAGAAATCAAATTTGAAAGAAATAGAATATAAATATAGATAAAAATAAAAATAAACATATAAACTATTGTGTAATATCCAAATATACCAAGGACTATTTAGCAACACCAACAAGAAACAAGTGCATTAAAAAATTTTATCTTTGTCAAGTCAAATTTCCATTACATTTATTTGTTTGTTTTTTTATTCACCCATTACATTTATTTGTTGTTTTTTTACCCACTACATTTATTTGTTATTTTAATTATTTACCCATTACATTTCATTTCATTCTATTATCAATATGGTGGTTAATTATGTATTCTGCGTGGTGGGATACATAATTAACCATTCGGCTCTAATATTCTCACCCACTACATTTATTTGCTGTTTTTTTATTCACCCATTACATTTCATTTCATTCTATTATCAATATGGTGGTTAGTTATGTATTCTGCGTTGTGGGATACATAATTAACTACTAATATATAAAAACAATTCACAAATATATACATTCAGGTAAGTGGTGGTTAATTATGTATTCTGCGTGGTTGGATACATAATTAACCATTCGGCTCTAATATACTAACCTCCCCGTGGTAGAGCTGGAAACACTCTTTACAAAGAGTGGCTAATAGTATAAAAAATAAAAAATAATTAAAAATATTATCAAAAAATATCGAGGATTTTTTAGCATTAAAACATATCGAGGATTTTTAGCATTAAAACACATCAATGATTTTTTAGCATTAAAGCATATCGAGGATTTTTTTGCATTTAATTATTATAATTCAACTATAGTTTTTTTTTTTTTTATTTTGATACCATAATTTTATATCATTATAAAGACATATAAAAGATTTTTTAGCATTAAAACTATAGAGGATTTTTTAGCATTAAAGCTATCCAGGATTTTTTAGCATTAAGACATATAAAAGATTTTTAGCATTAAAAAATATAAATGATTTTTTAGCATTAAAACTATCGAGGATTTTTAGCATTAAAGCTATCTTTTTATTGGATCAAAATAATTATTTTAGATTATTAAAGCATATCATTAAAAAAAAAAAAAAAAAAATATTATCAAAACATATAGAGGATTTTTTAGCATTAAAACATATCAAGCTTTAATATATATATAATCAAAACATAGCAAGGGTTTTTTAGCATTAAAACATATCAATAATTTATTTTTTAATAAAATTTATTATTATTATTCTCATTCAAGAATATACAATTGGATAGGATCATTCAATAAAATCAAGATTTATTGTATAATAATTATAAATTAATTATTTTATTGGATCAATAAAACATATCAAGTATTGCGTTACATTCAAGAACATTAAATATTATGGATCATTAAAAATTATCAAGTATTGTGTTTCATTCATTATATATCAAATATTATGGATAATTAAAAATATCAAGAATTTAATTGCATATAAAAATATCAACAATTGTGTATCATTAAAATATAATCAAGGTTTATTTAGCATTAAAACAAATAAGGATTTTTTTTACCATAATTTTATAAAATTTATTTCATTATACACATTCAAGAATATACATCTGTTGAATATAAATAAAAATTTTGAACACCTTTTAATTAAAAACTTAGAAACCCCTTTTTTTCAAAAAATAAACTAAATTTTATTCCCTAATTATTATACAACAAAAAAATATAGAGAAAAAAACAATCTTTCAAATGATACCTAATTTGCCAAAGAGATAGTATAGAGTAACTATGATGAACCTTTAATTCAATTTTCAATTCCCCTTGAAAAAAAAGAAACAAATACATATATTTCAAAGTATAAAGAAATCCAAAAATACTTAGAAGAAAGTTTAGATCATAGAAATTCAATTGAAGATCTAGTCAAAAAAAATTGGAAAGAAAATAGTATTGAATATCCAACATTATATTCAATTGTACTTTCAGTTGCTTCTTCGTCCGTTGAAATTGAAAGAACATTTTCGGGTGCTAAGTTGTTGGTTACAGACAACAGATCAAATTTGGTTTGGGAAAGAATAGAACAATGTGTGTTATTAAGGGAATGGGTAAACATTTCAAGAGTAGATATTGTCGAAAACTCTGTCATTTTTATTATTCAAATATTTCAAAAATAGTATGATTAAATAAAATTGCTCAAGAATTTTAATTTTTTTCATACAAAAAAATAATGTAATTTTAAGTTTTTTTTTTTTTTTTTTAAGTTTTTAAAATGAAAAAATTAGTCAAGTGGGTGGTGTGGGTGAGGGGAAAACTTAGAAATTTTTTTTTTTTTGTCAAACTTAGACTAATTTTATTCCCTAATTAAAATATAAGGATTTGATTCAAAAATTATTTATTAATAATATCAATTGTTTTGGGTTGTTCAAATAAATAATATAAAATAAATATTTAATATCATCAGGGTATAAATATATATCTCGGGTACTGTAATAGATAAATATTTTTATTATTTTTATTTTAACAAAGAATTAATACTGTTTTGGTGTGGCATTTGAAAACTAATTGTCATACTTATCCTTTCCATGTTTATCTTCTAATGGTTATACATATTCAATTAGGGGCAAAATAAATGAGGCATTATAGTCTATTTTCTAAAATTATAACCTTTTTGCTCTTCTAACAGTTATTTATCCGATCAAATTTTGGAAATTATATTTGTTATTAGAAATTGTTAAAGATGTTCTTTATTCTTAAACATCATGATGAAATTCTTTATAAAGTGGTTTTAGAGTAGAAAATAGTACAAAATAAATAAAAAACCTGTAATTTGGGTGGGAATGTTTCGATGCATATCTCTTGATTAAAATATTTATATTAATTTTTTTTTTTTTAAATCATCTACATATTTCAAATCACCGGAAAGATCACCGGAAAGATAAAAGCTTCTTAAAAGGTATTGCTCCATCCGAGAATCGAACTCGGGACCAAAGCATATCATACTATTCTATAAGTACTTCACTCTAACCGACTGAGTTAATGGAGCAACTGATGACTTCAATTGTATTATTTTTTATATTTATATATAAAATAAATAATTTATCAAAATTTTAAATTGTTTTTACATTTAAATACAGTATTTCGCAAAAGTTTTGACCCCCTTTTTTAAAAATTTTTTTTTTTTATTTATCTTCAATAATTTTAATTTCAATAATTCAAAAAAATATAAAATAAATTTCAAAACATCTTAACTATATTTATTTATAAAAAAAAAAAAAAAAAATACTGTATTAATATATTAATATATTTATGTTTATAAAACAAGGAGACAATATTTTTATTTATTTTTTTTTAAAAATTTTAAAAATGGATAAAATATGTTATTTAAATTGTTTAAAAATTTATAATTATTTATAGGTGTTGAAATATATTTAAGGCAACCAAAACAATGTTCTTTGCCTTCATCTTCTTCACTTAATAAAACCAATGGATCACCAAATATTACCAAATTTTCTAAATTACTAAACCAGTTTAATATTATCTTTTGTGAGAAACATTTACCCAGTACCAAAACTTTAATTGAATTTTCTAATGGTAAACAATCTTTAAAAATTGGTTGGTTGAATGAAAATCCCAAATCCAAATATTCTAATTTTGATTTTTTTTTTAAACATAATGTTTCCAAAGGGTGTTTGAATTCGGAATAAAGTTTAAAAACTTTTAAATTTTTTGGGTAAGAGGTAAAAACATGGTTATAATCATCATAAGAATTTTCTACATATTCGATATGATTTAGAATTCTTTTAAAACATGAATCTCGGAGCAGTGAATTTCTGAAAAACTTGGCCTTTACCATAATTGATGGTGAAGGTAATTCAAAATCATACATGTAAAGATAATTTGAGAGTTCTAATGAGGTGAGATTTGGTGGTAGAGAATCTTTTAAAATAACTTGATTAAAAGTTGGGCCCAGTTTTAATGTTTTTAAATTGAGTAAATTAACTAAACAGCGTCACCGATTAACTGATCGAAAACTTTCCAAACTTTAAGTACTCGAGAGTCTTTGGGAATAACTCGCCACTGTTTATTAGTGGAGTGTCGCCATTATTAAAACCTTTGAAAGATAAACGCACAAGATTCTTTGGTAATATATTTGGTAATAATTTTTGGTTAAAGTTTAAGCCAAAATGAATTTCTTTTAGTTGGTTGCAATTTATAAATTCCTTTAACCCGATTTCATGATTAAATAAAAAACCAAACTCTATTTTCTCTATAGTTTCATGAGGCAAAATAGACTTCCCATCTTTTGTCAATAAGGCATTGAAGAAGTAACCAAATTCTAAATGCTTTAATCCTATTGTGCTAAGTTGGTATAAATTTGATGCATTTGAATTTACAGTTAATGTTGATAATGACTTTGGTAATTTTGAAATGTTTTGGTTATGATGTTTAATTTTAAAAGTTTTTAAATTGGTTAAAGTTTGTAAAAAATCGAAATTATCATCACATAAAAATACGATCTCTAAATTTTCTAAATGGCTGCTTGGGAAAAAGTGTTTTGAAATTTCGACTTTTTGAATATCATAATTTGTAATCGAAATTGTTTTTAAGTTATTTGGTAAAAAACTTGATTCTTCAAACGGTAATGTAAAGCCCACTACCTTTAACTCTGTCAACGAATCTGGAAGAGCATTCCTTTCAATAAAAAGCGGTGTTTTGCCTCCGGCCTCTACATGAAATAGTTTTAGGCTGTTTGGTAATATATCTTTTTCAATTGAATGAAAGTAACCTATAATCTTTAACACCTCTAGTGAACTTGGTAGTTGGTTTAACTTCTGATCCAATGAATTATTTTCACCAAGAATCAAAACCTTTAAACTTGATAAACCATCATTTGAAAATCTTGGAAATGGTCCTATGAACCATTTGGGAGTTTTAAATTTCTTTATAGAATTTGGTATGCTTGGTAACTTTATTGATATATCCTCATTAAAATGCTGGGATCTTTTGCTGGACAAAACAATTGACTCAACATTATCTGGTACCAATGATAACAATAAATCCCCATCCTTTTCTATATCATCTTCACATAGCTGTAGTTTAAGTTGGATTAAATAATCTTTTCTTTTAAACTCTTTAAATTCCTGTACTGTAAAATTTCTTGAATAATTAACATTAAATAAATTTAAATGTCTAAATATTTCTTTTTTGATAAATAAATTATTAAAAACTTTATTATAACAATCCATATTTTTATAAAAACAAATTATAAAAATTTTGATTTTGATTTTTTAATTTTTTTAATTTAAAAAATAAATAAAAAAAAAAAAAGTAAAAAAACAAATTTTTACAAAAATAATTAAGAAAAAATATAAAATAATAAGAAAAATAAAATACAATGGAATAAAGTTAAATAAAATAATATAAATTATTTATTTTTATTTTTTATTTTATTTATATTTTATTTTACTTATTATATTTTATTTGATTTTATTAAGAAAATATTTTAATAAATAGCTTTTTTTTTTTTTTTTTTAATTTTTTTTTTATTTTTATTTTTTTTAAATTTTTTTAATTTTTTTTTTAAATTTTTTTAATTTTTTTTTTTTTTTTTTCAAACATTAATTTTTTTTTATATGTTAATTTTTTTTTTAAAAAAATCTTTATTTTTTTTTTTTTATTTATAAATATATATAATATTAATAATTAATAATTTAAATATATAATATTTATTTTTTAATAGCTTTTATTATATTATATTTTTTTTTTTTTTTTTTTCCAATTTTAATATGACAGAAGATAACAGTACAATTATTTTAACACCAAACTATCAATTAAAGAAACAACAAGAACACAGCTTTAACAAAACCATGGAAGGAGGTACACCCTATGATAGGATTAGCCTATTTACTTCAAAATTGAAGCTTTTAAATAACAATGATGGGACTCTCATTTCTGACTTAACTCGTTTGGCCGCTAACTCCAACCCTGTTGCCGAACAAATCGTTTCTTTAGGGGAAAATAAAATTAAAGAGGTAACTATAATTAAAATTTAAATAAATAACATATAATTTTTTTTCTTAATAACAGGTTTAATATAAATAAAAAAAAAAAAAAAATAAAAAAAAAAAACGAAAACAACAAATAAAATAAAATTAAAAACAAAACATAATATCTTTTATTTGTTTCATTTTTTATATTTATACATATAACTATATGTTTATAAAAAACGAAATAAAAATAAAAATAAAAATAAAAATAAAAATAAAAATAAAAATAAAAATAAAAATAAAAATAAAAATAAAAATAAAAATAAAAATAAATATTATTATTATTATTATTATATCATTATTATTATTTATTGTTATTTGAGTTATATACACAATTTTTTTTATTTTTTTTTTTATATAATTTAATTTTTAACATTTTTCTAATTCTTTTGTTTTTTTTTTTTTTATTTTTATTAGAGTGAAACGCCAGCTACCAAACTATGTTCTATGTATCTGCTCGATTCATTAAATAAAAATGTTAAAAGAGTTTACAATTCATTATTTTCAAGAAATATTGTAAATATTTACATTGACACTTTCCAATCAGTAGATGATCCAACTAAAGGTTCACTTGTCCACCTATATAACATTTGGAAGGAAAGAGAATTAATTGACAATGCATTATTAACTCAAATTCATCAACATTTATCACAAGAAATTCAAAGAATTTCAATTCAATTTCCAAAAAAAAACAAATCGTCCTCGTCCTCATCTTCATCCTCGTCCTCATCCTCAATTTCACAACAAGCACAAAAACCACAAAAACCACAACAACAACAACACCAACATCACCATCAACACCAACAACACCAACAACACCAACAACACCAACAACACCAACCACAACAACACCAACAACACCAACCACAACAACAACACCAACAACACCAACCACAACAACAACAACAACAACAACAACAACAACAACAACAAGCACCTAAGCCTTCTTCACCAATAGCAACTGCACCACCACAACAACAACCAAACAAACCATCTATACCTTCACCATCAAGATCACCGGTATCAGTATCTCAAGGTGGTGCTAACAAGCCAAATATACCATTACAACAAAATCATCAACTACAACATAACCAATTTAATCAAATGAATAAAGGTCCACAACAGTTTCAATCAAATCAAAACCAAAATAGATTCCAAAATCAAAATAATCAAATGCAACCAAATCAAAATTACCAAAGACAGTTCAACCAAAATAATCAAATGCAATCAAACCAAAATAACATTGATCCAAGATTTAAAGGAAGTGCTCCTCAAAATTTTGGCTATATGAGTTCGAATAATAATAATAATAATAGCAACAATAATATGGTAAATAATCAATTTAATCAACAAAATATGTATAATAATAATAATCCAATGAATCAAAATAATATGAATATGAATCAAAATATGATGAGAAATCAATCAAATCAAATGAATTATAATCAGCAACCAAATCAAAATAGTTTTTATAATCAGCAACCAAATCATAATATGTTTAATAATAATAATTTGAATAATAATATAAATACTAATATGAATAACAATTTGAATAATAATATCAATAATAATATGAATCAAAATGTTTTCAATAACCAGAACATGAATAACAATATCAATAACTTTAATAATAATAATCAAAATAATATGTATTCAAATTTTAACTATAGTTTCGATTATAATAGCAATATGAATAATAATATTACAAATAGCCCAACCAATACAGGTAGTGTCCCATCTTACTTTGCCAGTATCGCCAATATTAATATTCCAAAGTCAATGAACCCAACCCCATTACCAATAAGCCAACCTCAGCTTTCCCCAACAAACCAACAATTACAACAACAACAACAACAACAACAACAATTAAAACAAAAAATTGCCCAAGACCAAAACTTTTTGTTCTCAATAATCGAATATCTTGACACTTATTTAAAAGAAAAGAGCAATGAAGAACTTAAAATCTTTTTACAACAATTAAAGAACACTCTCTATAACAGTGTCTATAATGCTCAACAATATAATACTTTAAAACAAGAATTTAGATCTCTTAAAGATAAATATCAACTTTCCGAACCAAAACCATATGTTATGGACCATAGTAGTATTCTTTCCCCATCCACCCCAACAACAAACACAGTCTCCTTATCTCCAACCTCCTCATCAACCTCACTATCCCCATCATTATCAATTGAATCAAATTATAAATCAGGATCAGTTGATAATAAAAAGTATATATTAAATTTTTTCA